GCAGCCTTGGACAAGCATCTGGGTGAGAATGCTTGCATTGATGACGGCGTTAAGTTCGCCTCGGATGGCGGCGATCTCCGAGAAACATCCGACAATTCGAAGAGCTTGGTCAAGAACCGATGCCAAATCGGTGATGAAATCGGGAATAGGCATCTCACGACGAGAAAAGTAGTACTGGCACATGAAGAATGCTTTGGTGTGAGGAGAATCAATGGGATCTTCGGTCTTGAAGCGTGGAGTCATGTCCATGACAACTTCGTCTTCTGAGTGACGAACTGGGACTTGTTTGAATTCCTGTGCCATGCAGATAAGACGAAGAAGAGAAACAACATTGGATGACTCATTCATGCGATCAATAAACAACTTAACGTCGTCGGGAGAGACATAGAAGATGGATGCAATGCGTCCTTCTGGTGTTGGATTGATGTGTCCTTCCAAGTTGACACTGATGCAGTGTTTGTCTGTCAACGCTTTGATGATGTTCGATGAAACTTCTTCCAATGTGATGTTCTCGTAATAACCGGGATTCTTATCAAGACGGATTGCAAAGAATGAACGTTTAAGCCATGACATAAGTGACTTCTTAGATTTGATACGACCTGATGCAATCTCAGCATTGGCGTGTTCACTAGCGTGTTCGAATAAGTTAGATTCGACTGGAAGAGGAGAGTTGATGAATCGCTTCAAGAAATCTTTACGACCTTCCTCGCAAAGAATCATGACAATGCCTTCTGTGTCGAACTGAGGACGACCAGCACGACCCATCATCTGCTGCATTTCAGTGCTAGAGTATGGAACGTATTGGCATGTCTTAGCGTCGTGGAACTCAGTGCCTTTGATGACAACAAAATGTGCAGGAAGATTGACACCCCATGCCAATGTGGCTGTAGCAACTAACAACTTCATCTTTCCTGATGCAAACAATTCTTCAACAATCTCGCAGTCACTGGAAACTAAACCTGCGTGATGCAAACCAATACCTAAACTAAGACAGTGACAATGTTTGGTCTTGAACTTTCTGGCTGGCCAATGCGGTCTCTGGTGTAGTGTAATAGAATGGTTCGCCTCTGTTCGTTGCGTATGAAATAAGGTCGAATGCTGTCAAACGAGTCTGACGACGTGATGGAACGAAAACAAGTGTTGGTTTGTCATTAGAGTACTCACGGATAGCATCTGAAAGTGGTTTGTTCATAGATGCCATTCGAGGACAGAAATGACGACCAGGGAATCCACGGATGAATGTCTTCAATGGAACAGCGCGCATTTGTGGGGGGAAGTTGTATGTACCACGATGAGAAACACCTAAGAACTCTGCAACATCAAGTGGATTGGATAAACATGTGCTCAAACCAATGAATCGGACTTTAGTTGGCATCGATTTCATTCGGTCAACAACTGCTTCAATGATGTGGCCACGGTCTGTGCCAAGTAAATGTGCTTCATCAATAACAACTAAACCAACTGTTTGGACAAAACGACGAACAACAAATCCACGAGAAACGGCATCCCATTTCTCTGGTGTGGCAACAATAAGACTTGCTTTAGCAATAGCATTAGAATCTGGGGTGAATTCACCTGTCAATTCAATCAATTTATCACCGAATTTCATGCGCCAGTCTTGAACACGTTCTGTGACAATAGCTTTAAGAGGAGCCAGGTAAACTGCTTTTTGTTCGGGATGTGTTGAGAAAAGGCGACAAATCGCAAGTTCGGCAATTGATGTCTTGCCTGCAGCTGTAGGAGCGCAAATCAGGAGATTTTCGTCTGTGCGATATGTCTGGAAGAAAACTTGTGACTGGACTGGGTTAAAGAACTCAAAACCAAACAGTTTTCGATGTTCAATGTTTTCAATAGATGTAACTGGGAGTGGACGCAAATTAGGTGGATTAGATTCGAAACTATCGAATGTAGCACGGTCTGAGTTTTTGATGTAAATGGATTGTGAATCACCAACACCTAAAAAGCGGCTAGATGTCATAGTAACTAAATACTTATGACTTTCACAAACTGGAACAAGGTATTCGAATTTGAAGCCATCATTAGCAAGATGTCGATCAATTTGGACTTCTTGAGCAAGATACATCTTTTCTCCGTTACCGTCTTCAATGAAGATCCAGAAACTCAATGTGTCGTGAGTAACATGTGGATCCCATTTGAATGGAAATGATGCTTCGATGATGATGTTGATGATTTGATCGGAAATCGGTTGATAACGAGTGTCGATTTCGACAATAGGGAATTTGCGTGCAATGTCTTGTGCGTTGATTGCCATTTGTTCATTACGGAACATTGACTTTAATTCACCTAAATCGGCTGACCGCAAATCATCGAGTTCTAATCCTAAAAACTGGATCTTGTAGATAAGTTGGTCGTCTTTTGGAAATGTCATCAACTGACGTAATGGATGGTCAATTCGCTGGCGGCACCACCACATACGGTTTCCCACCATTTTGCAAAGATCTAATGAGAAGTTAGCCATGAAACACCAGCCTTTCTCAATACAAAGCTCGAAGATAGCATCAAAGATTCGACTCATGTTGTCGGCCATCCATTGTTGGTCTAATTGTAATGAAGCAGTCTTTAAGTGATCTCGTGAGATGTATGTCTGCAAAAGATAGTTCATCTTACCAGAAATTTCTTCAACGGATGAGTTGATAGGGATGATTGGTTGGTAACCTTCCATTTCGTCGTACTCGTTCTTACGGACAATGAGTGAACCAAAGATGTCGGATGTGAAAACGGCGTCAAGAAGCTGTGATTCATCCATTTTACCGTGCAATGTGTCGTTGAAATGACGAACGGCGGTGAAAGGAATGTAATGAATTGAAGCAACTTGGCCTAAATGAGTAGGTTGTAAGGATTGTGTGACTAATGTGGTTCGAATCATTAAGTTATCGTTAAGAGCGGCAATCGCTGAATCTAATCTGGAGTTTGTGATTGAATCATCTGGTAATCTGCAGTACATGAAGGTATATCTTGCCCAAATCAAAGCATCTCGTCTGGAAGTGACTGTTCCTAATGCAATCTCGGCGTTTAGGAAGTCTTCCAGGCGCTTTTGGAACTTTGATTCGATTGGATCTGAATAGAAAAGGGAAGAAAGGTATTTGCTGACGATTTTCTCTTGAGTAATTAATATGGCATGGCCGGATGTGTCGAATTGTGGTCTACCGGCTCGACCAAACATCTGATGAACATCCAAAATACCGATATCTTCAAAACCACCACGGTCTTGGTTATAAACTTGTGTACCTTTGATGATAACTGTATGCGCTGGAAGGTTTACACCCCAAGCCAATGTTGCAGTGCATACTAAAATTTGGATAGAATTTGTTCTAAAGAGTTGTTCAACGAAAATGCGATCCTGACGTGGTAGACCTGCATGGTGTATGCCAATACCCTTAGATAATGCATCTCTCAGTTGTGATTGGCAATTTCTTTTTGTTAATAATTTTGATACGTCTTTAGAAACTTGGATCTTAATATTTCTTGCTATTAACTGCGCGAAATTGGATGTCTCCTGTCTCGTGTGCACGAAAACCAAAACTTGTTGTCCATCATCAATAATTTCCCTTAATAAGTCAATTGCGACCACATCTATCTGCGCAATGTCCTTTTCCTTGCCTTGCGACAAAAGCTCGTTGAGAACTTCTGATTGTTCAACTGTTTTTGTCTTTGTTGTGTCTTTTGCGCCGACAATTGTCATTGCAAGGGGAACTGGTCGGTATTCTGGGCCAAAGAAGAACATTCCTTGGTCATTGACGCGCAGGAAGTTTGCGACATCCGTGTAGTTAGGTAATGTAGCGGAAAGACCGACAATTCTGATCATTGATTGTTGTTGTTCGACTTGGCGAAGAGTTCTGGCCACAAGAGCTTCGAGAACAGGGCCACGTTCATCCTGGAGTAAGTGGATTTCATCGATAATCAGTAGTTTCAGTCTGGCGGCTGGAGCATTTTCTCCGGCTTTTCTTGTAGCGACATCCCACTTTTCTGGAGTGGCAACGAGTATATGGGATCTGTCTAATTCTAATGATGTTAACGATGTATCGCCTGTGTATTCATGGACGATGATTTTGAGATGTTTGAGGGCAGATCTGAATTTGTCGGTAATTTCGAGGGCCAGAGCCTTCATAGGAGTAATGTATACGATCAGGAAATCCGAGTCATCAAGATGAGGTGGAATTCCCGGTTGAATTACGATATGTTTTTGTATTTCATGTAAAATGGTCAAAAGAGCCACGTTTGTCTTACCAGCGCCTGTTGGAGCGCAGACAAGCATGTTTTCGTTGGTATTGAAGCCTACATCGAAGACTTGGGACTGAATATCATTAAAAGTGTCTGTGTAAGGGAAACATTGGTGAACCCACTTAGGACAGTCTGTAATCTTCTTACGCTTGATGTTTGGCTTTTTAATTGTTGTTGCTGAAAGATCATACCTTGAATAGTTGATTTCAGTTGTTGTTTCGAAACTACTCTGAGAAGCAAGCGCAGCTGATGTTTTCTTTTGCATCCTTGGTACTGGTGTCCTGCTATGGGAAGCAGCTCTGTGTGATTCTTCTGCGGCTTCTCTAAGAATAGCATCGCGATTTGTCAAGAATAGCTCGATAGCTTCGAATGAGTTGTCACCGAGTAATTCAAGTAAAGGGAATTGTATCTCGTCGTTGGTTTGATTCGATAATAAAATTCTTTTACACTCGGTTGTACATTCGTCTACGGCATCTTGTACAAGACTTGAAACTATACCTCTGAGCCATGAATTAAAGCCCACCCCTTGCCATGGTGGAGCGGACATGATGAATTTTGAAAATGTGACAAAATTTTAAAAATATTACTTTGAGAGGGGGAAAAACAAAATTTGTTGATGGAACTCCAAAAAAAGTGCCTAATTTTGTAAATCGTCACTTTTTATGTTTACAAAAAAATAATCTTGTAAACTGACAAATTTTTCTTATTTGTAAACTGACAAATAAATTTATTAGTTTACAAATCAAAAAAATTTAAAAATGGATGCCCCAATACCACAAGGTGGTATTTCCATGAAATTATTTATAGATCAAGCTAATGCAGAATTTGATGAAATCGCTCAGAAATTTCCAGAACCTAGACATTTAGTTTTTCCGAAATATTTGACAAATTTTGTTTTTTCATTGATTAATCCGCAACTTATGCAAAAATATATCGAAAAGAAAGTTATTTTGGAAAATGTTACTAGATCAGAAAGCAAAAAGACAGTATTCTTTATTTCACCTGGAGATCCTAAGAGTTTAAAGAATCTTTGTGAATGTTTTAAGAATATTCCCAATTATACGAAAGTTGTTCTCCTAATTCCACGTTACACACTTGTTTGCCAACAAATATTTTCACTTAATGGCTTCATCGCCCTTCAAGATTCTATTCCTAACAATCCTTCTGTCGAAATATCTATCTTTGACTTCCATGCAGACTTCTTACCAGTAGAAGATGACTTCTTTTTGATGCCTGGTTACAGAACTTTTCTACAACAAGCTGTTGACCACGATTACAGTGAAATATATAATGCGGGTCGTGCTCTAGCCAAACTACAAACCGTATTCGGACGAATTCCTGAAGTTTATACTGTTGGTTCAAATGCAGTTAGAGTTCAACGCGTTATGGACACAATGAATGAAACTACGAACGCTCTGAGAACAGCTACACCACAAATCGATACTCTTATCCTCATAGATCGAATGGCAGATTTATATACCCCATTAATGTCTCAAACTACAGTCGAAGGCCTCATTGATGAGTCATTTGGTATTAACTACGGCATATGCGTACCTCCTGATGGCACTATTCCTGAAAAATCCCTTACTCTTTCCGATCGTTCGGATATTTTCAGACAAACTCGCATGTTGAACCTCGAGAAGGCCACAGATACAATCCGCAATACTGTTAATGAGCTGCAAGCCTCGATAGATGCTCTCCACACTGAAACTTCCGTGAAACAAAAAATGGAATACCTTGTCCATGCGAAGAAAATGGGAGATCTCAAAGCCAAGTTCGAATCCCACCTCAATGTCATCAGTGCTGCTATCCAGAAGATCTTAGATCTCTATCCATCGTATAATACAATGATTACAAAAGAATTCTTCTTAGTCAAAAACGGCGACAGCCTTTTAGACTTTGCCGAGAACTTAGTAACAGTCTGGAATGACTGGTGCACAGCTCTAAGACTCCTTTGCCTCGAAAACATCGTTGGACAAACCCTTTCAAAGAAAACCGTAAATTACATTCAAAAAGAAGCCTGTTCAGAATTCGGATTAGAATGCCAGCCGATGCTTATTGCCCTTGAGCACCTCAAGTTCATTTCGAGCTCTCCGTTTCCTATCAAATTTGGTCCGATTTTGAAAGAGCTCAAAATTTTCCCAGAAGAAGATGACCCGGTCAAAGAGCCACTTCAAGGTTTTGTCCCTCCTTCAGTGAGGATTGTACAAGCTGCTGTCAGCGGGAACTGGGCAGCTGTGCAGAGGGCTTACGACAACAAAGTTGTCCCGGTTTCTCAAATTGGGCAATGTCCGAAAATTGGTGAAGGAGAGAAAAGGAGAGTTTTGGTTTTCTTCGTTGGAGGAGTAGCATTGTCTGAAGTTGGAATACTCAGGAATATCGGAAGACTCAGCCAGACAGTGGAGTTCATTATTGGAGCTTCTGAAAAGATCAACGGAAACCAACTGATTTCAGATTTGTTCCCTCCTGCTGCAAGAAACTGATTATTTAAGTAAAATGATTTGTGTTTATATATATTCTTAATCATAGTAGCGCAAGTTAAAATTGAAGCATATATTTGTACTAATAACAACAGATATTTTTTTAAAGGGGTGTCCTTACGCCCTTATGATATGGCATTCAATTAGGATGTTTAAGGTTGGTTTTCAATAACGATTCACGCCAGTTGTCAAAATATTGAATTAAAGCCAGATGGGCTTTATATGCAGCCTTAAGGGTGGCTTTCGAGCAAATTATCTCTTTTTAGCTCAAGCGAGAAATATCGATCCCGATAATTTTGATGATAACGAATAATTATCATTTTGGAATTCAAGGAATGTGATGTTAATTTTAACAATTAAATTCTTCATTTTCGTCTTAGTAAAACACCATCTCGACCACTATTTTTGAAACGACGATAGGTTTTATTTGGCCTGTCCGGGACCCAGAAATTTTCCAACAATTTTTTTGAATAAGAATATGGATTTAAATTTTCAAGCATTTTTTTAAAGCAAATATGGTAATAATCCAACTAAAGAATCATATGTTGGAACGGGTTCATGGTTTCAAAATGAATGAAAGAGTTATATTAACTGTAAACAATGTTGAAATACAAATAAATAAATATTTCGCTGTTGCATTTTCTCAAATGATTTACAATACTTATGTTTTAGATAACAATACACTAAAGATCGATATCAAAACGAAAGTAGAATCACAAGAAACATATGAAGTGTTGAAAGAGATATTACAATATAATAAAACAGAATTTGAATGCAATGATACAATATCGAAAGATCTTTTCTACATCGGAAATAAACTCGGAATACAAGAACTGATTGATCCATATAAAACACAGGTTCTCGACAAAAATAACTGTGTTCAACTACTCGAGATTTATTTTGATATTTGTTCTGATAGTAAAATATCAGAATGTGTTGATTTCATTTCTTCTCATTTCTACGAGATTGATCAAGATGATCTAAAATCAATTTCGAAGAAACTCGGATTTGATATCATTCAAAGTATTTTTAATAATGATAAACTATTAATCAAAGATGAGGATTCGATAGCAAATTTCATATTCTCTCTCATTAACGAAAGTGAAATTTTCTCACCACTCGTTGAATACATTCATTTCGAATTTTGCAGTGAACAAGTCATCAATAAAAATCTTGTCATTAGTGATGAAAACAACTATTTCAATATTATCAAATCTCTTCATGATTCATTACTTAGATCAAGAAACAGCAAATACGATCATACTCGTTATTTCATTCCAAGCGATTATCAAAACATTTTCAAATATCTTGATGATCTTTCAAGAAAAGTTGATCAAACTTTATTTGAAACAGTATGTGAAGACATTCTAAATAAAAATGATGATGAATTTCGTAATAATATCTTATTGGAATCATGTGAAAAAGGAAATCTTGCACTCGCTAAATCTCTGATTGAGCATGGCTGCGATAAAGAAGTTAAAAACAAAAATAATCAGACTCCGCTCCATTTATCATCTTTTAATGGTCATCTTGAAGTTGTTCAATATCTTATCTCTAATGGAGCTGATAAAGAAGCAAAGGATAATTGGGGAATGACTCCACTCATTAAAGCATCAGAAGAAGGTCATCTTGAAGTTGTTCAATATCTTATCTCTAATGGAGCTGATAAAGAAGCAAAGGATAATTGGGGAATGACTCCACTCATTAAAGCATCAGAAGAAGGTCATCTTGAAGTTGTTCAATATCTTATCTCTAATGGAGCTGATAAAGAAGCAAAGAGTAATGATGGAAATACTCCACTCATGTGTGCTTCAATATTCGGTCATCTTGAAGTTGTTAAATATCTTATCTCTGTTGGAGCTGATAAAGAAGCAAAGAGCAAAAATGGATATACTCCACTCATTATTGCATCAGCTAATGGTCATCTTGAAGTTGTTAAATATCTTATCTCTATTGGAGCTGATAAAGAAGCAAAGAGCAAAAATGGAGATACTCCACTCATTTGGGCATCAAGAAATGGTCGTCTTGAAGTTGTTAAATATCTTATCTCTATTGGAGCTGATAAAGAAGCAAAGAGCAAAAATGGAGATACTCCACTCATTTGGGCATCAAGAAATGGTCGTCTTGAAGTTGTTAAATATCTTATCTCTATTGGAGCTGATAAAGAAGCAAAGAGCAAAAATGGACAAGCAGCAATGGATCTTGCAAAAGATAATGTAAAAAAGTATCTAAAATCTTTAGAGTAGAAGTTCAAAAGTGACAAAATTTTAAACTAAAGGTCTCAATTTTTTTTTCAAATTAAACAAATGGTTATAGGAAAAATTATTTTTTGTTGAATGTTAGGCAGTGATCAGAACTCATCCAAGGGAAGATCATAATTGATGCGCACAAGATGAAACATAGTATATAAAAATTATATTTATCAATGTTGGATAAATATAAGCGTTTATATATGGGTGAGATCACACATGTGTTTTATATGAAGTTATTAAAATGATTTAAGTTTATAATTAATATTGAAAGAAATTTATTAAATAATGTTAGAAATATTAGATATAAGAAACAGTGATTGATAAAATACTAAAATATATTTACTACTTATACATTTATATGTATGAACATTGATAGTTTTAACATTTATATGTATTCATTGATATAATAATATTTCAAAGAGCATTTGATTATGAAATTTGCTTATTTAAAGGAAATATATTGAATATGAAATATAAAAAGGTGATAAACAGTGAGAGTTGAAAGATCTTAAAATATCTCAATTCAAAATTGGATATAACCTCTCTGTCCATTATGAGATAGCTGAGAAAGGAGTCCTAACTTTGAGAAAGGGCTCCTTTCTCAACTTTCTCCATCAATGATAATTGAAAAAGGTTAATAGATTGTATTTCCAGACTCTGAAGTCAATATAAGTCAGAGTCTGGATATTTATATCTTTAAGGACCGAGTCTTGACTAGTATTTCATATGGATGCTATACTTTTTTGTTATTAAAATAAAGATTTGTTGATAATTTGACAGCATGTCAAAAAGCGGTAAGTGCGCCAATTAATAAATAAAAAATATCAAGATAAATTTAAGATTTAATTTCCAACATGTGATTGAAGTTCATTAACTTCTTTCTCCAATTTCTTAACTTCTGCCTGGAGAAGAGCGATTGTTCTGGCATACTCTGGATTCTTATCAACAGTTGCAGGTTTATAATGAGGGCGAGTATTCTGATACTTTTGTTGAATTCTGTCATTATGAGTTTCCAAATATAATTGTTGGTATTTTTCGGCAATTTTTCTCTGTTCTGAAGCTTTCTTTTGTTTTTGCTGCAGTTCTTTTCGAACTCTTGAAATTTCATCTTTGATAGTTGATCTAAATTCTCTGCAATGTTCTAATTCGGCCTGAAGTTCATCATTGAGAGAAGAAAGTTTTTCTGTTGTAGAATTTTCATCGTTAAGAGCTTTTTGACATCTAAATATCAGGAGTCTTTGCTTCTCCAATCTCTTCTGACGCAATTGAAGAGGGGTCAATTCTTTCTTCTTATTCTTATTGTCCTTTTCATCTTCTAAATTTGTGTCTTCTTCCTCTTCTTCCTCTTCTTCGTCGATATTCATATTTCGTGCTCTGATTTGGGCAAGTTTTGCTGCCAATTTTGAGCGTTGGCTCATCCTTGAGTAAACTGATGACGACTCAGCCATAGAGTGGTTGACTTCTCCTCTCCTTTGAACACGTGACTTCTTGTCTTTGTTCTTGTTCATGTGGCTTTCTCGAAGTTCTTTGAGACGCTGCATTCTTTCCATTTCTTCAGAATCTTCTTCTTCCTCTTCGCCATTGTTCGTATATTCGCCGTAAGGGACAACAATGGAACTTCCTCTCATGTTTTGGTTGCTTGCGGAGAGTTTTGTAGGAGATGTCTGATTTGATAAATCATTATCGTCATCAAACTGAACTTCTTCAGCTCCAAGGTCTTCTAATTGTTGTTTATACTCCCTCTCGGCTGCGTATGAGTCATCGTCATTCAGATCAAAGTTTTCTTTATGCTGAGCAAAAAGTTCGCTGCGTTGGCATGTAAATTTGTTCTTGAGAGGTTCTGTAGAGGCGTTGAGTACATTAAATATGGCGGCATTGGATGCTAGTTTAGCATATGGATTGAGATGAGCAACCCATGTTGTATTTATATCAACAAATGTATCAGCAATTAGTCTGAAGCATGAAGATTCTCGTCTGAAGTGATCAAATGAATTTTGCATGATTGAAGCTATCTTACGAAGATAAAATACTATTTTCTGATTTGATGGTAAGTCTAAGACAAAATCTGAGTTCTTCTGATCAACATTTGGGATAATAACCCATTCGAAGAAGAATTCTTGACATTCTATTCTAAAAACGAATAATGAATTCTCAAAAGATTTTCTATCTTCAAGAGCTGTAGAAATCAAGTCAACAGCTTCTGAAATATGATATATTGGAATCGATTCAAACTCTTTTACTTTGGAATTATCAAGAGCGAAGTAATCAATAACGTTTTTATCGAAAACTAAACCGGATGAAATTAAAAATTCTTTTTCACCTTCTGGAGGAATGTAATATCTTGCGAATTGTATGCATGTTTCGAGAATTTGCTCTGGAGTGAATTTAGAATTTGATGAGCATAAACTTATTAATCTGTTAGTTTCTTTTTCTGGACATTCCATAAGTATATCTTGAAAATGATCGAAAACTTGATCGAAATTTCTTGTAATTGCAAATTTTTCACCAGTTGTTGAATCTTCGATGGTTACAGCATTTCCATCTGCAGAAATCTGGCAACTAGGTCTTGTAAAAGGTGAACCTTTTGTTTCATTCTTTAATGTTTCTTGATCAGGAATGAAAGCAAAAGTTCGCATTATTTTGTAAACGGATACCTTTTTTTTATTGGACTTTAGAAAATGGTATTGGACCCCAGATATATGATCTAATGTTGATGTAGAAGCATTTGGATTCTGTATTTTATGATTTTGCACCATATTCATAGGTTTTTAAAATATCATCTAAAGAATCTTTTGAAAAGAAATACACCTCCACTATATCTGTTGCTTAATCATTTAATAATCAAGGTTTCCTTCACTAATATAGATAGCAAATTTTTATCTTAATATTTAATAAACATAACGTTTTACATGGTAATAGAAGATGATTGTATCAATTTTCTAATACAAAGCCGTATAATTTCTTTTAAGAACGAAAACAAGACAAATCAGATAAGAAAAGTTAGTAACAAAGAATCTAAAGAAATGCAAATATAGGGCCTTCTGGTATTGGTTCTAATGATTCTATATACGTAGGTCTAAAACGTTTTGATGGTCGTATTCTAATTGGTGTGGTGGCTCTTTTTTGACCTTTTGGATGGCATACTTCATCTAAACTTATATCTTGAACGAAATTAATTGGAGAAGCATTTTCATCATGAGATTTTCTTCTTGGTTTCACTTCTTTAACAGGAGTTGTAGCAATTGGCTCGCCATCCTCTTTTGGTAGTGTCAATCTAATCTTTTTACTTGCCTGTATGTTCCTCTTTTGTGCAACAAGTCTTAACGGCGATCGATTTTCTTTAATAACAAGGCAAGATAGGCTTGACTGTGAATGATTTATCTTAGTGAGCCTAGGTTTAGGGATTTCTAAGTTATCTGTTATGTTCTCCATAATTAGAAGCGGTGTTTTTATCAAAAATGAAGAGCTTTTCATTACTGTACGTTAAGGTCTCAATTTTGATTGAATGGTTGTTTCAATTTTTCTGATGTTATTAGATGAAATAAAATCTTTCTAAAGTTGTAAAATGATATTGTGAGGTGATTCATTTTAATTCACCGATTGATCTCATATCTCTTAATGATTTGGTAAAAAAATAGATTTGTTCATTCTCAAAAGTTGAATATCTTGATCAAATTCACAACATATATATTTTCTAACAGAATTATGTAACACTTACATTATTGTAATATTGAAATTGTTGATAATTCATTGATTTCTAATTAAAAGACTCAAAATTGTGTCTATTTCAAATTGCATCATTCATGTGATGCCTTTCTAAGTAGAAATTAAACATAATTTCTAAGGTTTTCGTTTTGCGAAAAAAACGTACAATACGCAATTTCGCTAAAAAAACATTTAGCTAGCAATTTCGACCTTTGACTCCACTCAAGACGTCACTTTTTTAATTTTGCGGTATCATATTTTTGGAAAATCTTTATGAATATTATATAAAAAGTCTCTTTAATATCTATATTTCATATTTTTATCGATTTTTAAAGTTTTTGCGAAAAGTATTCAATTATTTTTGCTATTTGGTCGGGTAAATATCAGATTTGCGACATTTTCTGATATGATATTCAGATTCTACGTTGATAATAATGCTTATAGAACCCTCTTGCTATTGTGTCAAAATTGCGAAACCGATAGCAAAAATATCTCGCAATATCAAAATTGAGATATTGAGTGAATTATGCATTATAGAGATTAAAAATCTGATTTGTGAAAACATCTCATCAGTTTCTAGCTAATTCAAAAATCTTTACTATCTTATTCGATTAAAATGAAAAGGGAATAGTTTCATTATGCTTTAAATGACAGCCTTATAATATAATCATAGTTTTCGCTCAATATGCAGCATTTTTTTTTCGAAATCTATGGTCAATATCCTAAATACTGATTGCTTTGCATTCATATCTCTTACATTTTCTATACCCACATCACTATTCATTGCTATTCCTATCTTTTTCATTTTTGTTTGTTTCTCATAATTTCTCAAAAAACATGATAACTTGATATTTGTAAATATCATACTTTTATGGCATTCCAAACGGGAACCGCGGTTGGTTACCATGGATTTCCGTCACCGGTCACATTTTAAAGATTTTTAAAGCCTTATAAAAATATGCTTTGTAAATCATTTTTTGTAAATCGGCAAAAATTTGGTAATTTTCTTCAACTAATAAATCTGCGAATAGCATTTATAATACAAGAACAATCTTTTAAAATGCGTTTGATTCATTTTTGTATAATTTCATATAGGCACATATATTCTTCCGGGACTTTCCGTGATTTTACCGTAAAATCATTAGTTTACACCAATTTTTCCGTACTTTGAATAGTTTACTGCACTTTTTCCGTAAAATTGAGTTACGGGAATCCGCAAAATTTCCGGACCTCATTTTTCATAGAATATAATAATAATATTTGATAAAAAGATATATTATTTATATTTTTGATTTTTGAATTACGGAAAAAGTGAATTGTTAACTTGATTTTTTTATATGGTTAATTTTTCAAATGATATTATGAAGATCTAAAATATTAAAAGTAAAAAATTGAATTACGGAAAAAGTGAGGTCAAAAGTGAAATAAATTTGCAGAACAATTTTCATTGAAATAAGACATTGAGTATCACACTTTAGTGAATCAACATCTATAAGAATGAAGTGTTTTGAAGCTGAAATAATATTGAATAGAAATTAATTTTTTCTGAAATTTTGAATGAAATTATGGGAAATAAAAAAATTACTAAATATTGTATTCATACAAATATATTATTTTAAAGGAAAAATAGATGCTGATAGAAACGATGAAAAATTTTGAAAACTTTACAATTAATTTATGTTCGTTAACCACAGAGCTTGCAATCCAAAGCTCACGTTAGACTACAAGAGTCATGAAGTCTCATACTAAGGGATATCCAACATATATTTTAATAATCTAATGTTTGTGACAAATATTCAACATAAAATTAAGTTTTCGTTTCGTTACAAGGCATTCATACTTTGGAGATATCATATTTAATGTACAGAAAAGTTAATATTAAACAATACATGCTAAAGAATTAATAAATAAGATAATAAAATAAATTTATACGTAATTACTTTCATTTAATATGCTTTATGCTGTATAATATTGATTAAGAGGCATTAAAAGGTTCCAGAATCTGCTTTTATAGGCAAGATTTTTGATAAAAATTTAAAATTTTGAAAAATGATGAGAAAAGGAAAAAAAGGTAAATGAGAGCAAGAGGAGGGAAAAAAAAGAAAAAGAAAAGAAAGGGAAGGGAAGGGAAAAATAAAAGAAAGAAGGACATATAAAAATTTAGATGCGCATTCTTAATGCCGAGGCGGCTTGCCGCCGAGGCGCGATTTTTTTAGGCCTCTACGGTAACCCGGCAATGTTTTTTTAAATCTTGTACAGCCCTACATACTTTATAACGTAAATAAGAACTTGACCTATTAAGAAAAGCAGTAATGAAAAGAAAATCTGAAATTCATAAAAATTACAAGTTTCTGATGACAATTAGCTTAATTAAACCAGGTACAAGATTATATAATTGTATTTTCTATCCAATTATCCATATAATATCTTATCCAGAAAAAATAACTTGATCAATACCAAATGATTTTTTAACTAGTAAATAAAGTATTTTCTTTACACACACATTGTATATCATAGTTTTTTTTGGTTTCGCAAAACATCCAAAAACAAATATGCTATAAAAGTGACAATTTTAGCAAAACGAAACCCTTATAATTTCAAGTTTGATAAAACGAAAATTGAACGCTAACGCACTTTGATGAATTTTCTCATCGATTTTCTTGAAATAATTGAAGAGCGCAGTTTCCAGATAAAGGCAATATCAAAAATTTCATAAGGGCAGCATTTCAAAGCTGGTTGAATATCAATTCAAAATCGTGACCAGCTATTCAGCCTCTCAGATGGGAATATGTAATACTACATGGATTTGAATTATAAAAAACTGTTCTGGACAAAGATCATCAATCCTTCACGTACAGTTTCATCCAATTACACCTTCGTTTTTCGTGATCACTTAAAATGCCTTCCCACATTTGGTTGATTGTTGACTCTTTTCAGGAATATTAATTGCTTAAGTATTTACAAAGTTAATAATAATCATTAAGAACTATTCATTTTTTTTAGGAATATAGCTGAGAAAATGATACAAATTCATATACTTTGTGCTTAATAGCACAAATTTGCAGACAAAACTTCATGCTCATAGTTTTAAACAAAAAGAAGCGTTACATCGAAATGCACTTTTAATACAAACATGATAAAATAAAATAGTTCAAAGATCATTATGCTAGTGGATCAGTATTTTTGATATTTTGGATTCATATTAACTGAGAATTCATATTTGCACGAATTTTGATAAATTTTTGATGAAATTGCTGTTTAACAATAGTATATTGCTTAAGTAAATTGTCTCTCTTCTTCCTCTCTTCAATTAGAGTCTGCAACATTTGAAATGATTCTCCACTTGTTCTTTCCGCTTCTAGGCGATGCAGATTTTGTGAAAGAGTCGCTTTAAGTTCATCAATGCTCTCTTGTAATATTTGTTTTCTATCTTCTTTTAATTCTTTGTATTCTTTTGAAATCTGCTCTCTTGCAATTGAAAGATCCTTTGCATTTTCTTTTAATGATCGTAAAGATTTAACGCAATTTTGGTATTTGTCATCAAAAGACGCGCTTGGTTTAATACCATTTTCTAATTTTCTGATATCAGTTTTATGTTTTTTGTTTTGATGAATAATAGATGCCAACTTATCATTTATTTCCGTTTCTTTACTATCTATTTCGATATTTTCTTTGTTTATCTCTTTTTGAAGGGTGATATTATAAGATTTAAGCTCTTCATTTGCATTGTTGAGTATATTTCTTGATTTTACTTTTTCTGCTATAGATTTAACTTGATTTTTAGCAATTATTTCTTCTCTTTGAACAATTTTTTCGTTAAGGATACCCTTACGTGTCAGATTTTTTGCGCATACGAAGAAGTCATGCTAAACATGAGCTATAAAACTGAAATTTTAGCAACATATTTAAAACTTTTTAAACTACAATACACTTTAATATTCAAGAACAAAAATATTCTTTTTAGAAATTACATAATTATTTTATGTGAAATCTATATAAAAACATATTTTGCGAGCGTAACTTTTTTCTTTATAAGCACCTTATATGACTGATAAACTGTGAAGGCACATAATTGTTAATTCATAGAGTTGATATGTTTCCAAAATTGAGAGGAAATTTGAAAATTGAATACCCTTTCAATTCAATTTTCAAAAGATATCAGCTCCTTCAATAATTGAAGGACGATTTTGATCATTTGCTCTTAAAACAAGTATGCCATGGAGAAAAAAGTTACGCTCGCAAATCTGAAATATAACTATCATATAAAAAATTTAAATTTCTAATTTTTTACTCTATAGATATTATTGGCCACTTGTGTAATGCATAAAAGTTTATGTCATATGATACATACATTTGGAAGTATGGGAGACGAGGGAAATTACTTCTATGAGGCACTAGGATTTTTAAAAATTTCTCTATCGGACTCACCATTCAATTTCTCGAAAATTAAAAAAAATCAATAATAGCTAAAATGTATTATGCATAACAAATTTTAATGTTACACGGTATTTTTTGAACTTCATGACATGAATTTTCTTTATATTATTTTTTTTTGGATTTTCTATGATTTATGCGATAGGCTGGAACAACATTGTAAGTGCAATGATATCATTTATAGAGAAATCTAAAACTTCAGCATTCAGAACTCGCAACCACAAAAATATTCATTTGCTAAGTAAGTAAAGTTGATTAAGTTCGACACTTAGCTTTTATACGTAAAACCAAGTGTGTATTGTTATTTCTTGTTAAATTATTGAGAAAAAAATAAATTGTAAGAGAAACGATACTGATTATTGAAATAATATTGAGGGTAGCTGCAGATTTCTTCATTAACATGCCGGAAATTTGTTAATCTTGGTTTTCTATCATAAAATCTGTCGAAGAATCTAAAAACGGAGATATGAAATAGAGATCATGTAAATCTAGAGTATCCTGTCAGAAAAATAGACTAAGCATGTAACCCTTTTTTGGTCATAAACACTTTTTACCACTTAGTCATACAGATGATCATTAAATTTAAACGAGCACTTTTTGTCAGAATTTATTCTTTTACAAAGACAGAAGATTTTAGTATTATTTAATATTAGTGCTGTAGCAAAATTCAAAAAACGGTGAAAATTCAGTGAATTTTTGAATTCACATTTTTTTTTCGACATTTTTCTTGATATATCCATGCACATTAAGAACATAGCTTTGATACGCTTAAAAAAGCATATTTCATATGAAATTGTTAAAGAAATAAACAATTTATATAAAAATTGCACTTATGGGCAGTTTAAATATATAATTTATATATAACATATATACAAATCCATAGACAAAGTGCAATAACTACAATGTTGTAGAAAATTACAGCAGAAATACTGACTTTTTGAAGGATAATAAGAATTCTTCTAAATGTTGTATTTTTATAATTTGATTGATTTTTTTACTATTTCATTAATCTTTTATGAATAATAATTATTTTTAATATATGTGCTATTAAAATTTCAAATTTTGACTAATATATCTAAGTTATCTGAACGAAACATTTAGAAAATATCATACTTACATTGAAATAGCAAGTAGAGCATATTAATAGCAAGTTTCTTGGCTTTATATCTATCATCTATTGTTGTTTGATCAAACAAAATTCACTCTATTATATGGTGTCAATTAATTAAAACAATTTTTAATAGTTATTTATTTAGTGCGAATAAGTGCAAATTCATAAATGAATAACTTAATAGTAGAAATGAATTATCTGATATAAATCTCACATTTTGTCCATCAGAAATACTTTAATTGCATACGCATAACTATTAGTAATACGTCTGGAGTGTCAATTAATAACAATCCCACAACAAGTAAAATTCAGATTTTTATTAAACTTATTTTTTCCTAAAAGTTTTCTCAAATTACTATATATACATATGTGGATAAAATAATAGTAATATTGTAAAAAATTAGATAATTTTTTTTATTTGAGAACCTCTCAAAAGTTCATTCAATTTATCAATTGTTTCAGTTTGATGTATATTCATTTCTGGAGCCTAAAACTTTAGCAATCATGACAATATCATATTCTCTTTCTAACTACGCAATGTAAGGGTATCCTTAATTCTTTCCATTTCATCAAACTTGTCAATAGCGCGTTTTTTATTTGCCAATAAAGTATTAACATTTGTGGAGTAAGCTCTTATTGACTTTGCAAGCTTTAAATACTTTTTATTTTTCATATTTTGTTCTAAAAGTAATTGCAAATCTTGGCGTTCAATAAATTCAAGCTTTTCTATTTGATGTGTAAGTTCTGTTCTATGATTCTGAGCCATTAAAAAGAAGATTCTCTTCACAATTTCTTCGATTGTTTTTGGATCACAATTTAGAAAATCGTCTAATTTAACATTAAGGATTTCTGATATATTAGAAAAGTTAAATTTGTTGATATATTCTATAAATGTCCCGTTTTCTTCTTTTTCATCAAGAATTATTTCAGGGAATAATGTTTTAAAAGCATCTAATATCATCATATAGTCATCACACTCCTGAAATGTCTTGATATCGTTCAGTTTCCCTGTCAAATTCAGCCAAGAAAGTAAGGATCGAACAATATCATTCATTTGAATTTTTTGAGAATTTTTCCGATAAGTTCAATGTAAATTCATTTAAAATATTATTAGCAATATAAATATTGAAGAAAATTGCCTATAGTATTGAATTTCTTTCTTTTGAGAGAAACTGTAAAGTGTTGTAAAATCAATAATACTCAATTATCGTATAGATTGTTCTTTTATCGTTGTTTCGATTTGAGAAAACAATTCAATTTAAGAATGTTCTTGAATTTTTTATTAAATATTCTTGTTCTTTAGAAGAATAGAATTATTGGTTATGAGTAGAAATATCTTGATGATGAACTTATATCTGAAGGATTCAAAAATGAACACCCCTTTTGCATGCAGAATAAAATGATTTATAGCACGAATCATGGCATCATTATTCGAAATTTTCAAGTTATGCTTAAATTGATAGATAAAGACTAACTATTTTACATTGAGGAACCGACGATAGATGTTATCTCATTTCTTATCTTATTTTATGGAATTTTCGAAGATTGCAAAAGCTGAGGATTTCATAAAGTAGAAAATGTCACTTTTTCACAATTAATAGACAATGAAATGCTTTATTTGCTCTGAATCTCAACCTTCTTTTTATCTCAGCTTCGCAGATGAGGGAGAAGAAGGTGATAAAGTCGTTTTGCAGAGATTTAATCAACACCCAAAACAATTATTTTGTTTATACAACGATTATATATTATCGTGCCAAACTCAAAATTGTATTTCTTCCTTAAGTACCTCAGCAGAAGGAGAGTGTAATAAACAGAAATTCACCAAAAGTGACGGCTCTCAATTTTTTGACATTTGTAAATTCTAAATTGAATGAGAAAAATGAAATAATACTAAGCATAATACAATATTCTAGATTTAATTATAATTAGGAAAAAGTTAGTTTTGAGAGTACTTTTCATAGGCATATAGAATGAAATCTTCTGAAAAATAATATCACATAAACTCATATTATTTTCTAATATATAACTATTTACTATAAAAATCAAATTCAATGATGTTAAAAGCGAAGGATAAACCTCAAAATTTACGAATATAATGAGTGGGAATATAATGCTTATCTATCATAAAACCATATGAAATATCAATTTTTGCTTTACGCCTAATTTTTGACGACAATTAGCAAAAAATGTTAAATGTTAACACTCAGTCCATTTGAATATGAAAAATAAAATTGACTTTGATTAAATGTTTTTATTTATCATGCAATTCTTCTTGCGACCAAAGATTTGAATAAAATTTCAAAAAATAAGATAGCTTAAAAATAATATACGGTAGTGTTTACTAATAGATGAATAGTATATAAATTCTATTAAAATGGATTTGATCCAAAAAAATATAAAACCAAAAATAATTGTTATAATTTCAATGAAGAAGTAATTTAAAACAATTTTATTTATGATCAAATTTTATATATTTTGGAAATCCATTTTAATTGAATTTATATACTATTCATCTATTAGTAAACACTACCGTATATTATTTTTAAGCTATCTTATTTTTTGAAATTTTATTCAAATCTTTGGTCGCAAGAAGAATTGCATGATAAATAAAAACATTTAATCAAAGTCAATTTTATTTTTCATATTCAAATGGACTGAGTGTTAACATTTAACATTTTTTGCTAATTGTCGTCAAAAATTAGGCGTAAAGCAAAAATTGATATTTCATATGGTTTTATGATAGATAAGCATTATATTCGTAAATTTTGAGGTTTATCCTTCGCTTTTAACATCATTGAATTTGATTTTTATAGAAAATAGTTATATATTAGAAAATAATATGAGTTTATGTGATATTATTTTTCAGAAGATTTTGTGTTCTTCTTCAAAATTTTATTTTTTTTATTAAAAAGAATCTTTACAAAATATACATTTACTTTAATTAATATTTAAAAACGTGCTCTATCAAAAGTTCCAAAAATTCAATATTTTAGCTTTTCTGAGGTGTCACTTTTGATGAATTTCTGTTTACAACAGTGCGCCATCCTGTAACTGAAGGAAGTCCCGTTATTTTATCAAAATTAAAGGAATCAACTGCCTTTAAGTGGCGCGTTGTAACCATGAAATAGACTTTGACAAGGTTTATTATATTTTTATTTATTTATGTTGAAATATTAATATAAATTGTTTAATAAATATTCAAGCATGGATTACATTCAGCTTTTCAGCTGGACTATATTTAAACTTAAATAATTATTTCTGCACTTATATTTTAAGTATAGTTATTTCATTTGGTTATGTATCATTAAATTGGTTTAAATTTGTTGATAAAAAGGGAAAGTTTTCGAAATATGATCGACATCTCATCAAATTTGACATGAGATGTTATCCAAAAATGAGCAGTTAGAATTCTATACAATTTTTGGTATAATTATGACTATTGAATTCAAATTAAAATTGAATGGAGTGAAACAGTTTGGCTTAAAATATGAAATTCATGAGTCAGGTTGTGAGTGGAGCAAAATTTCGCTTGCAAATTTTGTAAAGCTCACAATCTGCTCTCAAAATTTCATTTTGCGTCAACAAAATAGTAAATTTTTAGATGATCAATATATACTATAGCACTAACGAGAATGCTGAACTCAGTAACTTTGCAATTAGGCCTTTCATTATCAATGGTGTTAGATATGATAGTGTAGAACAATATTTCCAAATAATGAAATTTAAAATTGAAGCTGTTTATACATATGATAAGGATTCGGAAGAAGGTAGAAAATCCAAAGAGAAAATTGATTCTTTGATTCAAAAAATGCAAAACACTAAGTCAGGATCTCTTTTAAAGAAATTAGGAAATACCAGAATTAAAAATGCCAAATTTAATTCAGGATTATGGACTCAAGAAAGCCAAAATGTCATGAGAGAAGGTATATTTGAGTCTTTCAAGCAAAATCCTCCATTCCTCAAGAAATTATTGGAAACCGGAGATGCAACTTTAACTCATAACCAAGATAAAAGCAGATGGGGAAAGCTCTTCCCAAAAATATTGATGGAAGTGAGAGAGCAATTAAAAGAAAGTCAATAATATAATAAATTCTTAGTCATGAACATATATTTGTTTTGGCTATTTAGCTGTAACATGGCAATAGCTATGAAGAACATAAAAATGCTGTTTTTTTTTGCCAAACACACATTTTCAAAATGTTATTTTGATAAATTTTATAAAAATTTTTTGCTCAAAAATTCAAAATGACTTCTGTGCTCAAATGGATGGCACAGAAAGTCACGAATGCATCCAATTTTGCAGCAGAGAGTATCCTTCGTAGTATTATCATCAAATTTCTAGAAGAACCTATTCAAGATGATACAATTTCACTGCAATTATTTCAAGATTGGACTCTTAAACTATTATTAAAGAAAACATTTGTATGTGTTAATTTGGTTAATCCATACACACCATTTTTACACTTCAATTCAATATATATTTCAAAAATTAATCTCAATGCAAAGTATAATCTCTCTGGATTCCTATTAGACATGGAAAGAATAGTTATAGACATAGATGCAAAGATGCCAGATAAAGTCGAAGAGCCTGATCCTAACTTACAAGCCTCATTAATCGAATTAAAACAGCAATTACCTCAAGAAGCAAGGAAAAGCAATTCTGTTATGGACTACATTCTTAATTCTGTTAAGGAGATTAAGATTGCTCTTGATTCTTTTACAACAATTGTCAGAGTTAGAACAGATTTACCATCATGCTCTTTAAAATTTGAAAAAATTTCATCTGAAGTATACACTCCATCGAGTCCTGAAGGTAATATAAAGCTCCTTTCATTCAATTTCATTGTAGGAGAAAAAAGAAATCAAAAAAACGTCGCAAATATACAAAATTCGTTAGTAACCATGCACTCGAATGAAATAAAATGCACTATAGATAGCATTTCCTTTGATGTCGACCAAGAATTACTTAATATTTTTTCTGTATTTTTATCATATCTTCCTTCTCGCGTTCAATCACATAAAAAGAATACACAAACTACTCAGAAGGCCGATGAATCATCTGGATTTAATATGGGAGTTACTTTATTAATTAAAACTCTTCAAATTTCAATGAATGGAATTAAATTTGTTCTCAACAACTTCAATTTAACAATTTCGAATGGCATAAAATCGAGTTTTGATTCAATACAATTAATTCATGATAATGTTCAAGTTTTTTGTTTAAATTATTCTGAATTTCAATATTTATTTGCAACAAACAAAGTAAAGCTTGCAACATTTGCTGATTTCCCTACAACACTCGTTGAAGCACTTAATTATAACCCAGAACGTAAGAAAGGAAAATATAATTCTTTAATTGCAAATCTTGGCAAGTTTTCTATCGATATTTCGAAGTCTTTCATTACATCTGTCATTGATATCGTTCAATGGATCAATTCCTTCATGAAAACTATCCCTGACTTCCAATCTTCTTCCCCTCAAAAAATTCAAAATTCTTCTTCATTAGTAATAACCGCCAAAATCCCCTCAATTTCGATCAATTTCGAAAACTTGGGATTTTTCATTGGAGATGCATCCGCTCAAGTAATGCTAGCATCATCTGGAATGCTAGATAACACTAGAATACTATCAACTATCAAAACATTGAAGTTTTATGAATCTGAAGATTATAATATTATTGAAACGGAAAACTTTTGTCAATTAGCATTATCCATTAACAAAAGCATTGGTAAGGACCCAGTCTATTTCATTGGAGCCAAATTAGGTGATTTTATTGTAAGAATTCCTGGAGATATGAAATTTGTTTTCCAAATCGAGAATTTTGTCAAAGGACTTCCTATTTCTAATGAAACAAAGCCAACAGATGTTGTTGAAGCTCCTAAAACAAAGAAATCTTTACAAATTGATTTTAGGATTAATTCAACATTTCTTGAGTTCATAACCATAAATATTCCAACAAGGATGTTCATATCCTTTGATACTCTCTCAGTTTTCATGAGCGCCATTGATGAAACAATGAATTTCGTAATTCATTCCAAAATTTCTTTTTATTTCACAAACAGTCGCAAGCCAATAGCGAAGAAATACTATACTGTGCCATTCAGACACCAATACGCTGGTGTTCCTTACGTAGGAACCCTCAAAACCGATATTTTTGTTGATATTTTAGAAAACAACAAAATTTTCGTGAAAATTCCTGATATAAGAATAGAAGGCGGACTTTGTGCTGACTTGCTTAGCCTTCTTTTGGCCTTTTTCAGCCATGTTTCGTATTTACTTGACTTTCCAGAGGAAAAACAAGTAAAAGTCAGTCATTTCTCGCCGCCTGAGAAACTCCTCGAATTCCAAAACACTGTTTCTTTCTCTCTGATGCAATCTTTGAAACTGAAACAGTTTCCTCAACCTGGAAATTTCGATCTCCAAAAATTGAAAGAAAAATCTGTTATTTACGAAACAATTGAAAAGATGAAGTCATCGATAAACGAAAAAATCGAACCAGAACTGTCAGAAAGTTACGATGACTTACCTGATGTTGAAATAACGTATGAAAAAGTGACAACAGAACCAAACATTGTAATTGAGATTGAAAAAGGATTTATACAGTTCTTTTTGTATGGAGGAAGAGATTTTGATGGTGTTTACGACTTGATGCCTCTCAAGAAAATGCCAGAATTTTTGGAAGATTTCGAAAATGAAAAAAGTGACACTGATTTTGACATCATAGAATTGCGAGATGAAACTAAGTCTGTTGAATTGATTTCTAATATTGATAAGTCTAAAATTGAAGTCTACGACAAAGATCCTTTATATAATACTTGTATTTCTATCGTTCTATCGTCCCTTTCAATTTTAGATCACATTCCAAAAAGTGACTCTGCTTTTATCTTGTCATGCAGCACTGAACAAGATGAGAAAATGGTGTTCGACTTCAATATTCTGAAAAGTGAAGGACCAAGAATGAATGTCACTTTTTCGATGTCACCTTTTTCAAATATGATATGTTTTCTTACTCAAAGTCAAATTGAGTTTTTAGTTGACTGTTTTTCATCGAACAGACCTCAATTCCCTTGTGAAACAATTGATGTCGAGCCAATTGCTTTCCAATTATTTGAAATCAAAGGATTTAATCTTTTGGCGTTTGCTCACTTCACTTTTTATGTAAATGTCCACATTGATGATGTAAATTTGCATGTTCCTGACTGCAAAGTGCTTTCTGTACTTTCAACACACTTGGCATCATCTCTCGCTGAGTTTTATTTGAGAGAACTCGCAAGACCTGGTTGTGCGGCGGTTGCAAGCGGTTTGCCAGTTGTCAAATCTATCAGAAATGTTGCAACGGCACTTTCTACGATATTTGACATGAAAAATGGCCAATTTGGAGCTGTGGGAGGAATTGCGATTGGTGTTGCAGTTCTGATGAGAGTTTTGGCTCATGAAGCATTGAATGCTGGTGCTGGAGCTGCAAACTTGGCTCAGGCAGTGTTGCAAGCATCTCTTGATGTTGTTGATGGAAAAGAAAACGCAAAGGAAGCAACACAGAATGGAATTGCTTCGCTTTTCGTGGAAGGAAAAGGTATCAAAAATTTACCAACATTAATATTAGCTCCAGGAGTATTGACAATGCAGAAACTTTCTGAGATTTTGAAACAGTTGAGAGACAAAGTTTCAAATGTCAACTCAAGAAGAAATGATTTTTACAAGAGAAAGAAATGAAATGTTTTTTATTGTTAATTATGTTTATAAATGATATTTGTTTAAGATATTTTTGCGAATTTTCCTATTTGATACAATAGGAAAAATGAAGTAAATTGCACTTGTATTGGGAATTTATAGCTGAAATTTTGAATTAAATTAAGTAAGTATTAATTGTAGCATTACACGCCATCAAATAATAATATATTTTAAAAAAAAATCTACCGTTGAAATCTCTAATTATTGTCATTTTTGTTTGGATATCATCAAAGTAGTGGCAGAGTTAGAGGTATGCCTCTGGAAAATTAATAGACATTTCAAATATTGGTGGGCTCAGAGGATGAACAAAAAAATTGTTTCATTAAAATTGAGAAAGAATTTTAACGTACTGAAAGATAATTGATATTTGCATGATGTACATTATATAGTTTAAATTTCAAATTACCCTTGTCAGACGATAGCTATAACAATTGTTCTCGAAAAAACGTCACTCCGATGGATTATATTTCAATTGTATGAACATTCTATCTAATCAAAAAAATACCCTTTTCTCTCAAAATATATTGGATTTTTAATATAGGGTGTCCAAAGGTGTGTTTAGCACAAACCTGAATACTGCGAATAGAAATAAACAAGTTACATATATATAAAGTTTATTTAAATATAATCACCATTGGATTCAATCACGCGTTCGCAGCGATCGATCCAGGCTTGAAAGACACGCTTTAAATCATCATGAGAAAATTGCTCAAATTGCTCTCTTACAAAATTTTCAAGATCATCTGGACTCGCGAATTCGCGTCCTTCAGCTCTCTTTTTTAGCGTGCCGAATAAATAAAAGTCAGAGGGTGCAATATCAGGTGAATAAATTGGGTTTGGAACAACTTTGACATTGTTTTCCACCAAGTAATTCATTACCTTATGACTTTTGTGAACTCTTGAATTATCAAAATGAATTGCAAACTTTTGTTTTTGTTGTTTGGATTTCTCAAACTCATCAGAATTGATAATTTGAGTAAGAACATTGTCAATTAGATACTGAGCATTCATCGTATTAGGTTTTTGAAGAATATCAATTGCGAGGATGCCATTCACGCCCCAAAAAACCGACAACATCATCATTGGTGTGTCAATTTTTTTCTTCGGGAATGTTTGCGGATTTTCATCCTTCGGGATCCACATGATTTTGGCTTCTGTTGCATATTGAAACCAAGACTCGTCCCCTGTTACTAAAAAGCGAAACTTCTTGGATTGATACGCACCCAATATAGAGAGGAGCTCTTTCGAAGATTGGACTCTAGATTTTTTTTGAACTGAATTAAGGTTGTGCGGAACCCAACGTGTATACGCTAGTTTGTAGTTCAAATAATTGTGCAGATAATAACTGACTGTTGTACGTGGTATCTTTGTCATCTCCTCTATCCTTCTGAGTGATGCTCTTTGGTCTTCATCTAGCGCTTGAAGAATTGCTTTGATTTTTCTTTGATCCGGCGATTTTTTGTCAATTTTTATGATGGGCGCCTTTTTGTTCATGAAGTGATACATCCTAACATGATACGTTACAGTGGAATAGCTAGGAGCATCCATACCGAAGCATTTTACCAATGTCTCGTAGATTTTTTTTACAGTCTTTGCATTTTTTTGCAAGAGCGAGGATGTTTTCTTTATGATTCATTAAAAAAATGAAAAAAATCCCGCCAAAATTTCCCGCAAAACCGCCTCTTGTCTCAAAATTCATTTTATATCCCGGCATGGCGCCAAAATACAACATACTCATCATATACATATATTCATATTTTTTATTATATATTTATAATCAGCATATATCTCCTTTAATAGTCTCATATAGAGCGCTGTGCTAAACGCACCTTTGGACACCCTATATTTTTTGACACTCAGTGTTGATTCATCAATATCATGGCAATCAACTTAATTTTTATCTATTTATCTTGAGCCAAGCAGGGTCTCATTATGATACACTTATGAATGAGTACAAAGGATACATTAATACATGGGATGCAATATATCAATTGGATACAGATGAAATAGACTCAACAGCTGGATTATACGAAGAAATCAAAAATAACTTGATTGATACTGGATATTTTACAGCTAATGAGACAATTTTTATTTTATATGCAGTTTGTAAAACAAGTTTTCATTATCCTCATGGGTACCTTGAGTTAATTAATAGAATAAATGAAGAATATCATTGTATTGACGATGATTTTATCTCATTTATAACAGAAACTCTTGAGGTTAAAATAAATACACCCAAAAATGCAATATTATATGATAATAAAGATGAACTATTGTATCACTTGAAAAGGGAAACACGTGATCTCAGTAAACTACTTAAAAAATGTTGTTTGAGAGGAGCAATTAACTGTTTCAAGTTATTAAGAGAACAATTTGATGTGGAAATTACCAAAGAATGTCTTGATAATGCTTTTAGGTCAGACAATCAATATATCATACAAGAGTGTTTGAGTGTGCAAAAACCTGATGAAACTACAATGAATGCGGCAGTTTCATCTCATAATATTAAGGGTGCACACGAGAGGATCATGTAAACTTCAGAATTTAGAACCTTATTTTTAGGCATTATCTTGGCTACCTATTTAGGCTCGAAAAGCAAAAAATATCAAAAAATACAACTTGACTCTATTATGACCCTTTCATGGAGGTAGTTTTTATCCGCTAGTATTTTCCCTTTGAATCTCTTTACAATTCGAAATCAAATTCAAAACTCAGTAGAAGAAAGGAAGAATCGAATTACTACGGTTGTAATACGAATAAATACATATATTTAATTATTTTTATTTACATAATAATTGTTTGAAGCTCATATTCCATCAAATTTTTAAATAAAAACATTAAAATGTTGAAAATGTTCATATATTTTAATAGGGTTTTGGCACTTTATTGAGGAATTACTACATACATAGTCGAACTGAACTTGATATTTTGAAATTTAAATTATTTATCAAAATTAAAATTTAACTTGAAATTTATAATTATTTAGTCATATTTTGCATAATTCTAAGTAGATTTTGTAAAAAATCAAGAAAGAAAAATTTTAACGTGCTTTATTTTTTCTTTTTTATAATAATACATATTATTATATAATTAACATATCCATAATGTTTCACCCTTTCAAAAATATAATCCTCCTCCTCTCAAATAAACGTACATACGGGTGGCCTCTTTTTCAAAAAATTAAAATTTGAAATTTGGCTCAAATATTAGAGATTTTTTCAACCTTCAACGATATATGTTGTCTATATCAGACCTCCTTTCTTTTTGATACTTAACATTGTTCCTAAATCTTAGTCGTTAAGGATGTTCTGAAAATATTTTTTTTCGAAAAAATTCGAAAAAAATTCTTAAAATTCAAAAATCCCTTAATTCCTGAGGATTTTGGAAAAAAAGTTTTTACATGAACATGTGTATATTATATGAAGTATATTGATAAGGTAAAAATCAAATTTTATTGCATATTCATCGAGAAAATAAACTAACGAATCCCTCAAAATTGAGAGGGTAATCCTCCTCCTCTCAAATAAACGTACATACGGGTGCACCCTTAACAATTTTTTACATTTGTTTAATGAATATGAAATACATGATTGGTTTCAAAGATCTGCTGATTTCGGGAACCTTCACGTATTTATTACGTATTTAAATGCAACTAATAATGTGAATGAATGCTTTATGGTATCTCCAAAATTCCATATTCCTGCTCTTTGTGAATATTTGTATGCAAATGGTGCAGATATTAATTATTCATATCATGATGGTATTACAGCTTTACATAATGCAATAATTGAAAATCAAACAAAAATTGCGTCGGCATTGATTTTAAATAAAACTAAAATTGTCGGAACTGATCTTAAAAAAGCCATTAAAAAAATAATACCGATATAGTAGAGTTACTTGTTTCACATGGGGCCAACGTCAACAGTAAAGATAAGAATGGTTTTTCAGTACTTTTTACTGCATGTCGCAAAGGTAATATTAAAATTGTTGATATTCTAATTTCAAACGGGGCAAATGTAAATGATAATCAGAACATATATTCTCAAACACCTCTTATGTGTGCAATAATATATAAATATAAAGAAATTGCTGAACTTCTGATTTTGCATGGCGCAAATGTCAACATGCAAGATTTTACCGGAATGGCAGCACTTCATTATACCGTACTTCATATTAGTTATGAGTTGAAAAATAATGCTAAAGATTTAATTGAACTTCTACTTTCAAATGGGGCAGATGTAAATGCAAAAACTCATACTGGGATGACGCCTCTTCATTATGCTGCACAAGGAGGTAAGAACGAACTCTTTGAAATATTAATTTCTAATGGTGCTGATATACATGCTTTAAATAAAGATAAGAAGACCCCTGTTGATCTAGCCGTTGAGAGTGAAAAAACCAAAAATGATTATGATGAAGAAACATACAAATTAGCAAGTCATGTGCTGGATCTCTTTAGATCAATGAATGAGCTTTAATACGAACTCTAGTGATAAAATTTTAAATTTTTGAGTAACTAATAATTTTGATACGATTTCTCGAATAAATAGCAATATTTCATTTTCAACTTGTTTTAAGGCTGCACTTACTCCCATCTGACTTTAATCCAAATTTTTGACAACTGGTGAGAAGAGTTTTTGAAAATTAACCTTAAATATCATAATTGAAGGCCATGTCATAGGGGCGTAAGTGCACTCTTAAGCTTTTTTTTTCCAATTCTGATAATGAAGCATCATTTGAATGGTGGAATTCATCAACTATGTGTATGCATAAGTTTCAAGATTTTTCAGGTTGAAATCGTTTGAGAATATCTGGCAAGAGTAGTCCGAGATGTATATCTATCTTGATATGGTGCTTTTACTTCACATGGTTCTTCTCTGATCATGATCAGATGTCTCATCTCCAAACAACATTAAAAATTTTCAATGACGTTTCAAGCCAGTTGCCAGGAATTTGAATTGGTGTCAGATGGGCGTGAGTGCACCTTTAAGGAAATAAAAAGAATAAAATTGCTAGGTAAATTTACACTTTTGTTGCGTTTTTATGCAGACTTGAAACCTGTTAGAAGTGCAATAAAAGTGTAAATACTAAAGAACAGCATTTGGATCAAAAAAAATAAGAAGTGTTCCCACTCCCAATATTAGCAGCTTAGCTCATCTGTTCATTCTGGAAAATACCTAGGCCTAGTTATGCATATACCTATAAATATTGTTCGCATCTCTTTGGTCGAAGAAAGCTAAGATCTCAAAAATAATAATCGTATGTTAGATTTATTAAAAAAGATAAATAAAACAATTTATTCTTACATGTATATAAGACTAAGCCTCATCCTTTTCGGAAGGTTCCTCTATTTCGTATGGTTCTTTGAGAATTGGTATTTTCCTTGTTTCAAACCATCTCAAAACTCTCACCATGAACTGGTTGTTGCTTGCATCTTCAACTTTTTCTTCCAACATTCCGTAGATATAGAAGCAAGCTTCAGAAATAATGAATCCAAACCAAATATCTATTGTGTAATGGTTCCTAGACAATGTAATATAACAAATTCCAGTCAAAAATGTATAATAAGAAGCCAATTTCACAAGAAAAGAGAGCCATGTTGGTAAAATTCGTTGTGTAACTTCCATTATCCATCTGCTTGTCTGCCACATGAACATTGTGTGTCCGGAAACAATCAAATCACCACATTGAGGTAATTTCGCGAACATTCCGAATCCAAATGTCCATGTCAAAGCGATCTTCAGGGGATGCAATGCTCTAATTCGAGCAAGTTCCTTCGGATCAGCGCAAGGGCAATTAGGAAGTCCTGTACATGGTGCTGGCATCGATGTAATGATGAAAGAAAAAGCTCTTATGACGCATTCAACACCATAAAGAATCAAAAACTTTCTGGCGTTTGTTACATCGGGGAAAGCAAGTACCAATATGAATGAATATGCGATATATACTACGCAAAGCATGTTTGAAAACTGCATTTCCAAAAATGTCTTTGATCCTCTGATTTCATGGCCTGTATTGAATATGTTATGGATAAAGTCTGGCAATGGTTGTCCAATTGGCATCTGGCGAGCTGCCATTGCGTTGAAATAAGTCATAAGTAAAATACCAAAGACGAAAACGAAAAGAGTTGCAAAATCTTGTGGTTCAAATGTAAATATTTTGTTCTTTGGTCTCACTTCCGTTTCGTTTGGCCCGTCATTGTAAGTTTGACGGTTTTCTTTATTTATCTTCCTGGATTTCTTAATTACTGGAGCAGGAAGCTTCCACTCACCGAATATTGCCAATACATTGATCAGAATATAGCAAACTGTAAGCCAATAAACAGTTTTTGACGGAATAAGATATTGAAGCAAATTTGTGATGACGAAAATCATAAAACAACCAACTGTTGTTGCTGCTTTTTTCCTATTGCCAACAAACCATGAAGTTTTTGCAACGCAATATAATGTAATTAAACTCATTAAAAGAATCGGAATTGTGTAAATATATACGCTTGCCTTTCTTGGGAATGAAAGTTGAGCTACTGAGTACATACCAAATACTAAAGCCGGTGAATTTTCAAATAATCCTGCAATTACAGGACTGAAATCATGTCCGAATGCAGAGAGGTAATCTAATTCTAATAAAGAAGAATGCCAGATCAACTGTACAACTAAAGCAGAAATTCCTAATGGAATATTAGTTGAAAAGTCACCAACTAAGTATCCAAACATGGCTCCTGTGTGTACATTGATGAATATTGTGAAAACATTCATGATTTTCTTAATTAAAATATAAAATTTTTCATAACGAGGATTTTCAATTTCATAATGTCTTTTTGCAGCGTTTAAGGAGATAATGATAATTGAAGGAATGGCTAGAATGATATTGAATAATGTTTGGAGAGTCAATGACGGGAAAAGTTTAGGAGATAGAGAAATTACGTCTTTGAAAGCACAAATTATTTTTGTCATAATGTGCGGTTCATCTGGATAAAATACAGAAAGTATCGAGCTAATGAGAAGATTGATTTGTATTGTTAAAATATTTGAATTCAGATTTTTTTCGCTCCAAGTTGCAGTATTATGAATTTTAATAGGAATCTCGACTTCAGCTAGATTCAGCAGATCATCTTGGTCATTAGATTGAGCAATCTCTACATCTCTGTTTTCAAAAGCACTTAATTGATCATTCATTTTTATTGTGATCGGAAATTGTCAGCCTTCAAATGAAAAATAAAAGTATGTATAAGAAATATTAAAATTACTACGTAACGAAAATTTTTTAAATTGAAGGAAATACGCTCAATTTTATTCTCAATTTATTTCAATCTGATCGTAATAATGATAGTCGTTAGAAAATGTACTTGGTTGCGTGTCTAAATGAAATCTCAAAAAAATTGAAATGAGTTCGATCAATTCTCATTCAATTTAAATAATTTTTAGGTGTCTCATCGAAATAGCGTATAATCTTTGTGCTCTGTGATCGTCTGCCATAATACATAATACTTATTTATGGTTATTCAGCTATAAATCAGAAAAAATTTAAAGAATCGGTGATAAATATTTTGAATTTACGAATCAATATCCTTGATGTTATTTGCATGTTTTTAATAATTGCATAGCTTTATGTAATTGTCTGTTCCTTATTTTTTAGTTATAAAATCCAGCTTTTATAAAAATCCCCTATTATAACTCATTTTATAAAATTCATGTGAACTAATGGTAACATTATAATAAAAAGTAAGAATCATCCATAATCCTCTTCAAAATTACTTTCATTCTCTATTTTTCTGTATATGGTTTAATATTTGTTGCTTGATCAATTACTGTAGGTTTGTTGCATATTTTGTCTATTATATCTTTCTATTAAAAAATTTCGAATTATGAAATTTGAAAATGCAGCTAATATTATAATTTAATTTAATAAATTTCTTAGGTGTTGGGCTTTTATGGCAAAAGAAGGTAAGAATTTGATCATTACAGACTAATTTATAATGAAATGGGGAAAATAAAGAGCAAATGCAAATCACAAGGTACATGGGTGAAATATCATATATGTTGAAGAGAATATTAAGTGCCAATATGAAATATTACTAAAGAACATTGAGAATAAAATTGCTTTCACTCATATTTATAGAGAGATGAGAATGCATTTAAGCACTATTTAAATGTTACTTTGGAAAAGAATAAGGATATAGATATATACTTTGAAATCGAATAAAAATTGAAAACTTTACAAAAGTAATTGAACCAATCAAGTAAGGAAATGAAATTTTGAACGAAATTGAAAGAATGTGTTCGAATACAATATGGGAGCTATATGAAATAAAAAATAGAGTGACTACGTTGGATATTTGATTGAAAAACCGATGTTTAAATTGAAAATAATATTATTAAATTTCAATAATAAGAGTATATCAATATTATTTGTTACAATATTGTTGAAGAATTTGAAGTTAATATAATTAAAACTTTTGAAAGCACATTGAAAATCAAAAGAATTACAAATGAATTATAAAATTTGGAATATTAATGCACATAAAGATGAGTATAATTATTAAAATCTAAAGTTTTAGAATTTTATAAATTTGAGAAGTAGTAATTTTAATTTCGTAATACATATTATGAAATATTATATTACTGACTTTTAACAACTTCGGTTAAAGTTTAATGCCATAAACATATCACAAAATTTGAGAGTAAAGAGTAAATTTGAGAAGGTGAAAATCAATTAGTAAAAAAAGATGGAAAATCTGAATTGATTCAATAAAGGATAATGTATAATAAAATTCATAAAATTATAAAGTACTTTTGTATATGTATATCGGTTTTATTCAATCAAATAATTTCGCTGCGAGAATTGATAGATGTATGGTGTACTCTATGCATTGACACAAATACTATTCTTATCAAAAATTTTTGATCGAAATCAACCTTAATGAAAATAATGGTATCTATACCTATATTGATAATTCAATATATTAAATTTGAATATTTAAATAACAATCAAAAAATCAAGATTATTATTGGCATAAATAATTTTAAATTCGGTAAGAGATACTAGCACCAGATCTAAATCCTAAAATTTAATTTATTTTCGTCAAAATAATTATTTGTAATTTTTCAAACTTCCAAAACCGTTCAAATTTCAAAGCATTCTTAATTAACAACCAGATATATATCCATAGATGTTAAATAATTTCCAAAAATTTCTATTTGCACTACGTTAGCCAATCTAAAAGTACCTTTCAAATTTATTCAACATATCTTTCAAAAATTTCTAGGCTTTCATAATTTTCAAAGCATTACATTAAGTTGAATATATTATAGTAATGATGAACGCAACAACACTTGGCAACACTAATCAAATCAATATCCCACCAGCTATCGGGTGTTATGTACCGATTCATGTCATTGGTGAAGGTGCTTCATCTGTTGTTGTTGTAGTTCGCCATTCTAAAACAAAAGATCTTTTTGCTTGTAAAATCATATCGAGAAAAAACCAAGAAAATTATACATTCATATACAGATTAGAAACTGAAATCAGAGTGCTTGAACGAATTCGTCATCCAGGAATTGTTAAAATTCAAGATATTTTATACATTGACGATTTGATTTGTATCATAATGGAATACGGACGCCGTGGTATGCTGTACGACTATGTCATTAATCGCGGACATCTTCCTGAGTGGGAAGCAACAAAAATCTTAGTGTCGCTCTTAAATACACTTGAATATCTCCATTCAATAAATGTTGCCCATAGAGATCTTAAACTTGATAACATTGTTTTGACCCAAGATTTTCAACCAAAACTCGTAGATTTCGGCTTAAGTTATCAAGCCTTATCCGATGATGATAACTATAGAAGAACATTTTGTGGCACTCTTGAATATGTTGCTCCTGAAAGCTTCGAGCATAAGAATTATGACGGAAGAAAAGCTGATATTTGGTCATTAGGCATTTGCTACTATTCCATGTTAACTTGCCAATATCCTTGGAAAGGCACTGATAGGGGCATTATGAAAGCGATTTTAGCAGGCGAGGTCGAAATCCCTGAGCAATTATCAGATCGTACAAAAGAAGTTCTAAAGCTCTTACTTACTCCAGATCCTGAAAAAAGACCTACTGCTAGAGAGATGCTTGAACTTATGTACCAAATGGGCGTCCCTGATGTCAAGCTAGATACATTGAAAACTCAGTACAATACGACCGTTACAAAGCATGCTGTTATTAAACAAAATGTCTTTGTAAAGGGAATATTTGCCAGAAATAAGAAAGCTAGTAGTGCAAAGTATTGAATTCTATTCTTTGGTATTTTTGTTTCTTTTTGTTTGTTTGTAAATTACGTTTGTTTAAATTGACTGTAAGAATGTTTTTATCAGATCGCTAGTGTTATTTTCATCATATATGAGAAGGATTCAATCGAATATATCTAAAAACCGAAGTTATTACAGTTTTTGGAAAATATGTTAATCGTTGATTCATAATTTAATGTAAGAATTAATTCTAACAGATTATGAAAAATAATAATTTTTGATTTAAGAGTTATTTAGTTTATTTGACGAAAATATGACTTTATTTTGAAAATTAGAGCAAGATTATTTTTAAAATTATTTGATATAAGTGAAAAATCATGTAAAAAACTTATTTTTTCTTTTCAAATTTTGAATTTTGACTTTTTTTTGAAATTTAATTGTTCAGCAATTCTTGAAGTTAATAGACAATTTATACGAAGCATGCGAAAACATGTTTGTATGTTTATAAAAAAGTTTATATCATTTAAAATTTCTTTATTATTATGCTTGATTAAACAAATTACTTAATGCCTGAAACTCTCATTGGTGACATACACAAAAGATCGTGCCATTAAGTCAGAACCATGAAAAACATGGAGAATTACATATATATTTTAGTGGTTGAAAAAAGCGTAATGCGGTAATATCACTACTCGATATATTTAATTTAAACACGCAATAGTGAAGTCAATTTATAGCATATTATTTAATAATATTGATCAACAAAGTTTAACTCGATAAACTATGATGAAAATCTCTCTTACATACAAAATTATAGAAAATTTGCGATTAGATAAAGCTCTCTCTTATGTTTCTCACTATATTCTATTACTTTGCCTGAAATCAGATACAAGAGTACTAACGATATAAGTAAATTTAAATCAAAATACCTTAAATATCAGAATTTATGATTTGGAATATCTCAATGCGCAATAATTTGTATCAATAATTTTTAGCATACGAAAAGCCTCTCCGGAACAAAGCCTGCCTTATAAATCAGCAACCTGAAATCATCCCCTATCTCAGGGATTGCTTGAGCATGCTGATGCTTGTCATGCTTTGTCATATCTGATTTTTTATTTATTTTTTTTTATTTTTTATGGGTGAAGCAGCACAAATTGGACAGAAATTTGTTGGAAAACTTACTGAAGCATCAGTAACAGAACAGCCGTTATCTCCAGTCGATAATTTAATAAAACAATCTCTAAATGATCCGATTTCATTTTTATCAGATTTAATTGCAGACAAAATTCCAGTAGGAAATGCAGAAGAAACAATAAATAATTTCACCTTCCAACCCCTTAAAGAATTAGGACTCTCCATCTTAGCTAAAAAGAAAGAAATGCTGGATCAACCACTTCCATCAATAAATGAAAATGCAGAATATGCTGCCATAACAACAGCATTGGGTAAACTTACCACATCAGTTGTTAATGAAAAGACCAAATCAGAAATTCTTCAAAAATTATCCAATAAGTTGAATACAAATCCAGCTCAACCGCTTCCTATCCAGATTGCAGCTATACAAGAATGTCTCCTCAAATTAAACGATACTATTGCAAATGGTACTGCAGGAGCTAATGATGCTCTCGTTCATCGTCTCTACAAGAAGACTCAAGATGCTGTTGCCGATCTTGACTTCTATAATGAGCCAGAATATTCTGATGAAGGTGATGATGATAACAGAGTTCAAGATGCCGAAAGAACAATAGATGCAATGAGAGATCTCTTAATCTCTCAAAACAAAGAGTTGGTTCAAATCAAGGAAGATGTTAAAGAGACTCTTGATGCTAAAAAAGTTCTTACTGAAGCAATGCAAGATGGCGAAGAGTTATTGGTTAAAAATGGAACAAGAAACATCGTAAAAGGAATTGATGGATACATTAAGAAGGATGGACGCCTTGAAGACAGGTTCCGAAGCTGGTTTTCCGTTTTGGCCTTAATGAATACACAATTAACAACAAAGGCCAACGGATATAGCTTACACATCAAGATTCTGTATGTTATTATTATTGTTTTATCGGTTTTTCTTTTCCTTTCAAGGAAGAAAAATTAAATTTTTTGAAAATTTAAGTTAAAATTATTGTTAATCCGATGAAATTTTTATTCTTAAACACATACACTTTAGAGTTATTATATAATTTTTTGTTTATTCAGCAACAATTAGAATTTAATCTAATAATTATCCTTTATTAAAATAGTTTTTAAGCTTCAGCTCCCTCATCTTCATTAACATACTTCTTAAGAATTTCTAATATATGCTTCTGCTTATTTGCGTAGTCCTCTAATCTCTTTTGCTTTTCTTCTTCGGTTTCGTTAATAAAACCTTCAGAGGAGGATATATCAAAAAGAGTATTTAATGCGTCGTTGACTTTGAAGATCGAGAGAATTGGAATTGCGACTGTTTTATCGTTAATTGCAGTTTCGGATAGTTTCATAACTAAATCTTGGATACGATTAACAACTATTGGAACTGGCTCCCAAGACTCTAATGTATCTTTGTCATCTTTCTTGTGAAGTGTTTTTATTTTAATTAAAGCATTTTGTAGCTGAAGTAATTCTTCACGTTTCTTTTTAATGATCTCATCCTTTTGCTTGTTTTCAGAAATAACGCTCTTTACTGTTGGAGTGTTAGTTTCGAATTCATCAATAATACTTGAATTTTCTTTAAGTGATTTTTCAATAAGTTGAATTGTCTTTTCTATATTTTGAGCTTCTCTGGTCTGCTCTATTGCCAATGAAGCAGATTTAATGACCAAATCACTGTTCATTTTAAAGCTCTAATAATTTCTGAGAGAAACGATTATTTATTAATTCCAAACTACATGCTCCTAAAAAATCATCCACACAAACCAATATCTAGTTAAAAATCATAATTTTAACTTCAAATATACTCTACATTAGATTTTTCAAATTGACTTTCAAACATCTTTACAATACAAGCTATGAGTGATAGAATTTTGGTTAAATGTTGGGCAAAACGATCAATACAAACATATTAAGAGCTAATATAGCATTAATTACATTTTAATTTTATTTGATCTCAAAACATAGGGTAACAATATTTAACTTCTTGGAGCTAATTATACTCATTAGCATAAACAAGTTTATTGAATTGATAATAAAAAATAATATTTTATTTTAACAAACAAATAAAAAATAGTGCCGAAATAAATTTTATCCTGCAATACCTAACGGATCATCTGCAAAAATATCGTCTTCGACATTTTTAATATCAAAATTCAAAACGTGGTCGACAGAAGCAATAAAAATGTCTCTAGAATACTTCATTGGCTGCGAATATCCCATGTCAAAGTATTTCAAGATCTCAGATATTGATGGAGCCGTTACCGGAGGGTACATAACGAAAGTAACGAAAAATAACGAGAAACAATCGTCAAATGACAACATATCGTTCTTTTTTGGCATAATATCTGAAGCCATTGACGCGAATCTTCCCAATCTTCTGTATGTCGCGTTAGATTTTGCGAATTCTCCAAGCATGTTCAGGGCGATCGAGATATTTGCAACAATATCAAGCGGATTAACAAGGAATTGAATGATGGAAAGTTGGTCGACAATTGATTTCAGAGATAAATCATGCAATAAATTCATGATAGGCGTATTGTATTGCTCTTCTGTAAATGGGTTGGCACATAGACCAAGTTTGGCTGGTGAATAAGAACCAACTACTGAACATTTTTTCAGAAATGCGTTGCTTGTTGGACATTTGAAAAGTTCTGGCCAAAACTGGTACATGAAGTCAAAACAGTACCTAACGAAAACACATTTCAATATTATTTTATGTTCTCTTGTAGTAATATTGAATTGATTTTGTAATTCAATGAGAATTTCGTTAAGCTTATCGTTACTAAAAATCATTAATGAATTTTTAGTCTCTTCTGTATTAAAGGTAATCGTCTGGTCCTCTATAAGAGAGTATAAATAGTCATCAATTTCTGTTTGAGGAATATAGCCAAGATCTAGATTAATTTGATCACTATTATCATCAAAAAGCTTTAGCAGCTGCTTTGTTGGTATAATTTCTGATTTTTTCGAGATGGAATCTTGTTTGTTTAGATTTTTTCTCATTTCGATCAATTTCTTAAGAACGCGTCGGTCTCTATTAATGAATGTTGATTCTTGAAGCTGATCCATGTATTGTTTGAACCTGGTTAGATTACATTCGCATTCAACTTTATTTTTGTAGCAGATATCCATAATTCCGAGCAATTGGTTTGCTATATTAAAAAATTTGAGATAAAGTTCGTGCCTGCGCATATAATATCTTTCTGCAAATTCAACAATGACACTTATAAGAATTTTAACTCTGACGTAGTTTTTGTGTGTATATATGGGATAGTCTCTTCTAATGTTATGATATACTCCAATCTTTTTCTGAATTGTGTCACGAATTTCTGTTAATTGTTCAATTTCAGATCCCAACTTTGAAAGGGCTGATTTAGGCAGGTTGGCATTAGGAACACCTACAGATAAAAATAGAGAACTCTCACTTTCAATCGAAGGAAATTGTATCTGGCATTCCATTTAATTTTATTTTCCGATTGATGAAAAAAAAAAGAAATGAATTCGTCACTTTTTGTGGAAAATGAAGTAGGATTCAAAGCTGTATCCCAGATAGTTTAGAAACGATATATTTAAAAAACTAAATCAGATTAATGAAACTTGCAAATTAAAAATGTCTGGGCATAACTTTTGACTTTATTTGTAAACTACCATATTTGACATTTTGTAAATCCAAAGATGTCAAATTCACTTTTGTTTCTAAATTGAATCATCATGCTACGAATTGAATCTGATTTTCTCCTTTAAATTTATTCAATACCAATACTGTAAAAATTACAGACCCTCATATAATCAATTGTATGAGCATGCTCAAATATTTGTGATCAACACTGTCAAATGACAGGCAAACAAGACTTATGATTTCGGTTCTTTGTCTATTAACTCAGGCAAAAAGATATAATGGAGTTCTTGTGAAGAATGATATTTATCATCATAGGGAAGTCAGTAATAACATTAGCCCATATATGGGTCTTACTGCAGGACGAATGCCTGTTACTTTTTTTAGAAAGAATATCGCGAATCTTGAAAGAGATTATTCTACAACTGATCTAAATTCCATTGTCGATCAAATTTCTAATGAATTCGATCTCGAAAGAGATAGGTTACAAAATTATTTCAGTCGTTCGAAATGGGCTTCCTTTTCCAAGCAGCTATTCAACAAAATTGATTTTAATTTAAATCAAAATGGCTTCAAAGTTATATCTTTGGGCGGCACAGTTATGAAAATTACTAAATCAAATGGTTTGTATACTGTTAATTGCCGCAAAGTTGGAGTTACTACAATGCTCATCCGTGCTGACTTTCAACGGGTCATGCAATTAAATTATGTTCCCATTGAGTTTTGCTGTGCAGGAGCAAATCTTGTTTTATCCGGACAAGAAATTACTCAAATTTATAACAAGTTGAATGATGATATCCAAGGTACTCTCAATGCTTATAAATCCATTTAAATAGGGTTGCTAATTTGGATGATCTTTTTGGATCATCCAAATTCGAAAAAGCCCAAAGATCATCTTAAATTCGAGTTTTGGATTTTTCAATTTTTTTTGAAAGAAAAGAGCTTTTAAAACAGGTATAAATATCAAGCAAACCATTATTATTAATATATTATCAATGCATTAGAGCTCCACGTGCAAACATTCATGTGGTGCCTAAGTTAAAGCATATTATCAATGCTACTGTGTAATAATAAGAATAAAATATTAGATGAAAAGTAATATTAAAGATATATATAGTTTAAAACATATAATTATTCAATAATAACTGTATCCTCGAAACGGCATCCGAGTCCTACAAGTTCTTTTGGCGTTTCTGGATATTGTGGATCGAAAATTAAACCTGGTTCAACAGAAAAAACGTTTCCTGGTCTGAGTTGATAGTTAAATCCAATGGAATCGCAGTCATGGACATCAATACCAATCCAGTGAGAGCATGCGTGAGGATAAATCTGGCGAATTTTATAAGGATTATATGGAAATCCTAATTCTTTCATTCCACGAAGAAGTAATTGCTCGCTTGTATAATGCAGTTGTCCTAGATTCTGGAATTGCTTTGCTTTTGCGTATTTAACGATCGCATTTTTGACATAATCTACCATTTCAAGAACGGCTCGTTTAACTTCGGGAACTTTACCAACAGATATTGAGCGTGTAAAGTCTGAACAGTAATTCATGTATGAACAGCCCGCATCCATCATAATTGTTTCTCCATCTTGAACAACACGTGTATTATCGAGGTAATGCAAGCATAAAGCGTTAGGACCAGATGCTACGACAGTTGGATATGCAAGTTTATTAGATCCACCTTTAGAAATTTCAGAATAAAATTTATATTCTAATTCTGATTCATTCACGCCCGGCTTGACATTCTCAAGTGTCTTAGAAAGAGCTTTAGTAGATATGTCGCACGCTTTTTTGATTAATTCGATTTCTTTTGGTGATTTTACGATTCTTAATTGGTCAATCATAGGAGCTAATGGCTTAAATGGTGGTAGACCAGACTGGTGTGGTGGGAATGAGCAGTAAACTTGTCTAGATTTACCGATTGCATCCACAATATGTGAACCTATTGATTTCATTGGTAAAACTTCGTCAACACCACTGGTTTTGAGTGTTTCATCGAATGATATCTTTCCAAAAACATTTGGATCGAAGAATTTATCCTTGGTCGGCAAAAAAAGTGTAGATTTATATTTATTTCCATCTTTCGTCATTAATAATGTTCCTGAAACATTTTCGTAACCTGTTAAGTATATCATATCGGAGAATTGGAAGTATTCAAATGGAATTCCTGGAGATTTATACAAAGGCTCTCTACCAGAAACAATAATTGTTGCAACTTTCTCTGGGATCAAGTCTAATAGCTTGTTTCGTCTCTCAGTAAATTCAGATGCAGTAAACATTCAAAAAATAAAAAAGTGACAAATTTTAATAATTGACGATTAGTGTCAGAAAATCAGTAAAAACTCCCAGAAAAATGCATTTAACAACTAGAATGATTGTACATCCTTGCTATCTTAGCCAAATGTTCTTCAGCTTTCATCAATTACCTTTAAATTGTCTCATTGCTTCCTTACATAAACTATTGAAATTTTGATAGACCAATCTTTGAAAACATTACTAACCGCACTATGATAATATATAAAACTGTCATCTTTGCTATTTAATTCTGTATTCCATTCCATTAGTTATAATTAAGAATTATCCAGTTATTCTTTTTCCAGTAAAAATGAGTTCTCTTTCTGTAAATGAATTTATATTAAGTTAAAGGTGCACTTACTACTTTCTGACATGCTCTCAGAATATCAATATACAATAAAGGTATAACTACCATATGAGGCCATAGGAAGAGATTTATGACAACTATTTCACGACCAAAAATATTAACTTTTTATCATAGAATGTCGAGATATAAAGCTTGGGTGTCAAAAAAATAGAGATAAAGTCAGAAAGTGATGAGTGCACATTTAAGTTGATTGATTATACATGCACAAAGCTCCTCATTATCTATAGAATCCGAAGAATAAAGAAAGTAATTCCAAAAATAACATAATCTCGTTTAATATTAAAAATTAAATTGACCACAAATAAAAATATAATATAATAAGTTTTTGTTTTTCTTCACTTAATCAAGAACTACTTCTTGAACACTACCTTTTGATTTCCTTGATGAAGATCCCTTTCTTTTACTTGAACTTGCCTTTGATGATCCAGATTTCTTTTGTCTGAAGAAATCATTTGGAGAATCAGGCGCATTTCCAGGTGTTGGAGCATTTGCGTATGCGCGCAATATATCAGTTGTTCCAACATCAGTGTTATCAACCTCATTCTTGTTGAAGTTTGCAAGGAAATCAGGTGAATCTTGTTCAGCTCTGATTTGTCTTTGAACTGGAGGATGATAAACAGGTTGTTGCTGTTGGACAGCTTCTGGAGGTGGCGGATAAGCATAGATAGGCTGCTCACCAGATCCTGCATTTACTCTGTTGCCCGAATTTTCAAAAGGAGATTTGGTCAGCCGAACAACGCTATCGTTGTCTTTCAAAATTGAAGTCCAACTTTTTTCAGCTGCTTGACGGATTGCAGTGCTGTTATTAGAGTAAGCGTAAGAGTATGAAGTATAGGAATACCCACTTGGTGGTTGCTGCCTCTGTGGCTGTATTTGGAGCTGAATTTCCCTTGATTTCGGTTTCTTTTCATCTGTTGTGTCAATTTTTGTGGAATAAGAAGGAGTTTGAGCTGCAGAGCCTTGTGGGGATGTGAAGGACTGGTATTTGGACCTGGAGTGAGTGCTTGGCTGTGGTTTCGGAGCAACTTTTGGAGGTGGTTGGTTATTATTCGATTCTGTGTAAGTGTAAGTGGAATAATAAGATCCTGGGATGCTGTAGGAGTATGTGTATGTGTCTCCGTACGAATATGAGTTTTCTGAGTACGTTGGAGGTCTCTTTTCGCGACGAGGTTCATGGCGACGAGAATTCTTTTCTGTTTGGGTGTAAGAATATGTATCTCCATAGGAATAGTATGAGTAGGAGGATTGTGGTGGTTCTGACTCTTTCTTCTGAGAAGAAGATGGTTTCTTTGAAGATTTTCGTGAAGCTTTCCTTGCAAGAGATTCTTGAAGTGCATTTCGCTTTTCTTTATCAAGTCCGTAGTGTGGGTCCCATACTTGTGGCTGCTCTTCATCAGAACTTTGTGTAAATGTATCATCTTCTGAAATATCTCGCTCTTTCGGAGGTTCTACAACAGGAGCTTGTGAATGATGATGGTGCTTCGAATGATGATGCTTTTGATTGTGCTGATAGAATTCTTCACGCTTTGCTTCGGCTTCTTCAACAATCGAATTTTCAGAAAATTCAGAATCATCAGAGGATTGAAGTAATGGATTTTCACGTTCCTTCTTTGATGGAATTGCGCGTGATTTTACTGTGGGATTTTCTGCTTTTTGCTCTTGTTTGAGTTTGAGAAGTTGTCTAATGACACCTTTATGTCTTTTGAGATCTAGGTTGCGTGCAACGTAATCTGGGCGATGACGATCGATTTTAACTAATTTATTTGATTCATAATTTGCTAAATCAAGAGTAATATCGAGATTTCGTACAGCAAGCCAAGACGAAACAAAATCTAATGCCATTCTAAAAGCTGGAGGATCTGGTGGGGGCTTATATAAGTTTGGTTTGACGCGTTTTTTAGCTCCTTCAGAGATTTTGCGGGCAATGGTTTTCAGGTACATTCCTTCTACGAATTTATCTTCTTTTGGCATTGTTGATGCCTCTGAATATTCATAGTAGGAACTCATTTATTATTAACTATTTTTTTGAGAATGTAACAGAATTTAACGGCAATTTTTTTGTGAATGCTCTTATCTATAGGATTATTTCTTTTGGTATTAGCAACTTGATGGATTATAGTGAACTTTTTTTCGTATAAAAATCCCAATTATAGTCCTAAAACACAATTCTGAATCAAAATTATGTAATCTCTACATGCTGTATATTATTTTTATATCTGATATTGATAACTTAGGATAGTAATTTAATAATTTTGAATATTAGGAAGCAAATGAAGAAAATTTAAAATGTTAATTTTATTCAACTTAAAAACTGTTTTGATAAACTTCAAAATCACCATATAAATGGAAAATAAGATGGGTGATTATTTCATTCAGATTGAATCAAGCCAAAAACATATTTCCATTTTATATGTCTTGCAGGCAAAGGTAAAACATACCCGGATATAAATAACTTCCTTATCTTGGGTCTTAGATTATAAAATCTTCGAAATGATATGTTTGCTTGATATAATGAGTGAATAAATATCTTCTTGTAAAGTCTTCACACTAGTATATCAGCCTTTATGAAGATGAGCTTGTTGCCATATCAAAAATCTTGATAAAGATCCGACTCTTTTTATTTGAAATGATATTTTTGGAGTTCCTGTTTATACCTGTGAATAAAAGTGACATTTCTCCTTCAATCCTGGTGGAGAATTTAATTACAGTTACATTGATAATGAAATGATGGTTAAATCATTAGTATTGATAAAGTCTTGTATATATGTGCTTAATGAAATATTTGTTGGAAAAAGTATTTTAAATTCCAAAATGAAGGAATTCACAATGAACTATCCCATGATTGAAAGAGGAAATCATGTTAAAGAATCATGCTTATTCACAATTGTATTAAACTCTCAAAGAATCACAACTCAAAAGCTTAAATTAATCATATTCTGTCGAAAAATATATGAAAAATATCTCATCAACTTATCCGATGATACAATTGAAATATATATTAACTTTTTATGCAATGACACAGGCAATATCTTTGCTCGATTTATTGAAGAAGGAATTTTGAATTTTCCCATTGATAGAAATCATTACCGGGATCTATTTGAAATAGGAAGATATCTTGGCATAGATATTATAATCGACGTTTTCCGCGAGTATACAAAAACATTTAAGGAAATTAATTTAGAAAATTTCCATGATGTTTTAGAATTAGCAGAATTTGACAACAACATGGAAAAAATCAATGAATGTATCACATTTATTGCTTCAAATATGTATAAATTAGGAGAGGATTTTATTCTTTCAACCCTGTTTTCCAATGGATATGATTTTTCCGAAAGAGTTTTTACATCAAGCTCATTAAGAACCAAATCAGATGATTCAATGTGCAATATAATACTGAATTTAAGCGCGAAAAACAGTTCTTTCATTTTACTTTTGAATTACGCCAAAGTCGAAAATTGTTCAGCAAATATCTTAAACAGGATGTATAATTTTTCAGTAGAAAACAACTTGGAGTCAATAACAAACAAAGTATTTTTCACAGCACTCAGTCGCAAGTCTTCTACTAGTAATTCACCGGTAAAATCAAATATTTCAGAATCAAATAATTCTCGTAATTTCAAGAGAACTGAAAATAAACCATCTCAGCCTTCCTTTAAGAAATATTCAACCGAAATCATTCATTACCAAGGTACCATTCAAGATAAAAAGCTTGATTCTGATTCAATTATAGAGCATGCAGAAATTAAAACTAATGACAAGCTTTCTGAAAAAATTGATAACATTGATACTCAAACAGAGTCTACGGATAATCAAACTGCAAATCCAACAACTGATGAAATAACACATGATGATGAAACTTATCAAAAGCTTGAAAATCTTGCTAAAAGAAATAATATAAACGCAATAAAATCATTGGTCAATCATGATAAAGAATTTATTCATAAGGATATCGTTCTAACTGCTGCCAAGAAGGGAAATTTAAATCTTATTTCACAATTAAGAAAAATAAACCCGCAATTCTTATTAAGAAGAGATCAAGATGAAAATACAATTGCTCATATTTTTGCAATGAATGGCAATTTACAGGGATTTAAAATGGTATTTAATTTGTTTGATGTTAATGATACAAATAAGCATCAATGGACATTCTTACATTTCGCAGCATATTACAAGCAGCCAAATATTTGCGCGCTTTTATTAGCTGATGATAGTATTGAAAAAAATTTACTTAATGAAGATGGTAATACTCCTCTTGATTTGGCAAACCAGAAAAACAATGAATCAATAATTAAAATCCTTAAGGAAAATAATTGCAAATAAACAATTAATTTTTAGTATTATTGAATATATGAATATCTTATACTCCCTTTAAAAAATAAATCATAATTCAGGTCATTAATAAGTGGAAGGATCAATAGGTTCAAGTGCTAGAGAAGTACATTTTCAGACTTTATTCAAAGTCATAATCTGATTTAACAAAGAAAAATCATTAATTATTTTGGTGAAAGCAAATTGAGCATTATTAGTTTTAATAATTACTTGCGTATCTATCTTCTACTACTATATATAATGCATTAACAACATCAATTGCATATGTGATATGCACCGCAATATAGGATTTGAGGCGAACCAATTCAAATTGAGGTGATGGAAAAAATTCCTCTCAACATAAGGATGCAGACTTGGCAATTCTGAGGTCATTTTGGCAATTCTTAAAAAATTTCCGGCGAAATTGGCGCCCTTCGGACGCCAATTTCGCCCGATAAGATAAAAAAAAAAAGGTAGTGGGGCCTCCAGGCACTTCGTGCCCTCTAGCCCCGAAGATGTTTAGTATAAGTGAAGTATAAAATGAGGTTTTTTTGTATATAGGGGGCTTCCCAGGCACTTCGTGCCTTCTAGCCCTAAAAATTTTTGAAAGTCGTTGTCGTTGACTTTTCGGTAGAGGACTCAAAATAGTATAACTATGTCCGGACAAGTAAGGGTCTATCGTCGCTACAGAAAAGTTACGGGCGTTCAAGGAAGTATACTTTGAGAAGCCTTTTCTTCCTTATAGAATGAGATAGGATGGTTATTTTACAAAACCGACAAGACCTTAACCGAGTAGTTTTCATGTTTTGTCACTTTTCTGTCACTTTTCAGGTAAAAACATTTTTATTATATATATAAAATGAATTTTACAAAACCACCGTTACCCTTCTTTGGAAATAAGAGTAGATGTAAAGATATTCTATTGACAGAACTTAAGAAACTACCGAATGGTCTAACATTTGTAGATTTGTTCGGTGGAAGTTTCTATATATCTCATTTGTGCCATACTGTATTTCCTGACTCAAAGATTATATGCAATGACTTCGACAACTATATGAACCGTCTCAAACATATACCAGACACTAACAAAATATTGAAAGAGTTAAAAGAAAAGATACCTATAGGTAAGATGGAACGTATACCATTAGATAAGAAAAATACTGTCAGAGAGGTTTTGAAAAAAGCAGAGTATATTGACTGGGATAGTATATCTTCTAGACTATTATATAGTGGTTCTATAAGAGTTCATGACATTGAAACACTTATGTCAAACGTTTTATATCTTAACTATACAAAGGTTTTCAAAGAGAACATAGAAAAATATACTGAGGGTATAGAGTTTGTGAGATGTCATTGGACAGAGTTGTATGAAAAATTTAAAGACAAGGAAAATGTTTTCTTTATAGTAGACCCGCCGTTCTATAACACATATGATTTTCAATACCAAGTAGACTGGACTTTGAGAGACTCTTTAGAAACTTTAGACGTTTTACATAACCATCCATGCTTTTACTTTACATCCAATAAAAGTGGCTTGGAAACCGTTATGAGATGGTTAGAGGACATACATGACTATGAGTTTAGATACGATAAGATAGAATATGAGAGAGGTCCTATAAACCGGAAAAAGTGTCATAACAAAGAAATTTTATTGGTAAGTAAATGTGGTTTGAAATAGGACTACTTGTTTTAGGTTTTTTCCATTGTGTCATTTACTTATTTGACGTGGCAGAAAGATATAGAGAATATGAAGATGAACCAATGCCAGCAAATGTTCAGCATATGTACTCGTAAGAGATATTTTTATCTAATATTAAATGGACGCACAGAACTTAGCGAATGCACAGCAACCTGGACAACCAAACCCAGAGAATATTCCAAATGAAGTTAGAATACAAACTGCAATGGCAAACTATGGTCAGGTGCCAACAGATGTACAAATGCAAACTGCCATGTCAAATGACGCTGCGTTAGGTTTGCCACCATGGTATGCAAATATGAGATGGAAAGAGTTTTATACAAACCCTGAAGTGGGATATAAACAACTCTATGCAGATGACGCGAACACAGGAGTTGACCCAGAATATGTTTTCTACCAGAGGAGAAATAGAATGTATGAGCTCCAGTTAAAAAATGCTATGGAACTCAACAGGAAACGTAAGAGACTAGGCGGACATTAGATTTTTACATATAGTAAAATGGGTTTCTTTGGAAGAATAGGAAACTTCTTTCGAAATGTTGGAAGAGGTATATGGAATGGAATAAAATCTGTCGGAAGAGGAATTTGGAACGGAGTCAAAAATATTGGTAAAAGAGTAGGTCAGTTCGTTGGTATTATACCTAAAGACCCTGAACCAGAAGAACAAGCTCCTGTTATACAACAGCCTGAACCTGCACCACAGTCTAGTTGGCAACCAAATCCAACACCTCAACCGTATTAAAAGATTATATTTTTACCGTTCGATAGTAGTTGTATATGAGACTAAGTTCTAAGTAAAACGCATGGTATAATGGAATTATTCTCTTTCTTCCATCTGTTGTAAACCATACTTGAAAGTCTGAAATACTTCCACTCGGCGGTTCATATAGCTTTGTAGGTTTTTCGTAAAAGTCATTTGCCAAGCATAAAAAAGAGTTTTGTGCACCAGAAAATGAAGCATGAACTATAATAGCATCTGAGTCGAAAACATTTTCATATGTTCCATTAGGGTTTTCGACTTCATAAAAGTCCGGGTGTACTGGATATGCTGCAGGCTGATTTAACATCCTCAAAAAATCTATACCATGCCAAGTTGTTATATTTTGTAGAAATATAAACGTTTTCTCCAAGGTCTTCTATTCTATTGATTTTAACAGTTGCATTTTTCCTGTCATATATAATATCGAGATGGTACTCTCCTTCGTCAATGTTGTACTGTTTTGCATATTCGAGATAGATATCGTTTATTTTTTCTTGAAAAGCTTGAAGAGTTGTTTCTAAGTTTACAAACAAACTAACTTGTAAAAGTTTTCCCTGTTCAAATTTCTCATACGTACGTTTTTCTTTGTTATAGTATCGAACTTCAAAACCGACCGTAAATGGGAAACCATGTATGGCTTCTGAAATGAACTTCATTCTACGAAAGCCAACAGCTTTTGTGACGGATGGGTCTCTTAACCATCTCAATGGGTAGTCAAAACGATAGCCTTCATGCTTTACGGTCTCTGTCTCAAACTTTTGACCGACATTCGTAAAAAGTTCATCTAATGGTTTAGTTGTAGCAACTCTTGAATTTTCTTTTTCTATTGAAAGCATATTTTATCTAGAATAAAAATGTCGAATGAAACAGTGTCTATGAGAGAAATACAACACAACCGACAACTCATTGTACAAGCTCTAAATAAGAACACAACAAACTTTTCAAACTATTCTAAGATATCTGAGTCATTGAAAGAAGGAAACTTAAAACTGACAATGAACCCAATGACAGATGAGTTTCTGTTTCAAGACAATAGGAACCATACTGTCTGTGTAAATCCAACAAAAGGAACTTTAAACGAGAAACCTATAGATGAACTTCTTTTGAAAGCAGATGTTGACAACAAAGCTGACAAAGAGTATGTCATTGAAAAAGTTCAAGAAGAACATGACAGAGCAGATGCAACATATGCAACAAAAGAGGATGTTGAAAAGAAAGCTGACAAAGAGTATGTCATTGAAAAAGTTCAAGAAGAACATGACAGAGCAGATGCAACATATGCAACAAAAGAACATACTCATCCTGAACTAGCAGACAAAACATATGTTGACAATAAAATGTCAAGTGAAGTGACAAGAGCTGAAAACGAATATTCTAAAAAGACTCATACACATACCATTGCAAATATTACAAACTTACAAGAAACCTTAAACAGGAAAAGTGACGTTGGACATACACATACCATTGCAAATATTACAAACTTACAAGAAACCTTAAACAGGAAAAGTGACGTTGGACATACACATACCATTGCAAATATTACAAACTTACAAGAAACCTTAAACAGGAAAAGTGACGTTGGACATACACATACCATTGCAAATATTACAAACTTACAAGAAACCTTAAACAGGAAAAGTGACGTTGGACATACACACGATTTCTTCGCAACTGTTGGTATAGAAAATATTGAAGGAACGGTTGAAGGAGCTGGTGGGGATGTATTAGATTGGAAACCTCCTAACTTTCCACAAGGTTTAACATCGGAAGAAGACATAACAACGATGAGATACATTAGATGTAGAAATGTCTATGTCATGGAGGATGAAAACAAAGTTAAATTCACTGCTCAAGATTTATATGATAAAAAAGCTGACAAAACAGAGCTTCAAACATTAAAGATTGAAATACTTCAAACAGTATATCCTATAGGTTCTATTTATACGTCAATGAACTCTACCAGACCAGAAGTAGTACTTGGTTTTGGAACTTGGACTCAAATAGTCGACAGGTTTTTGTATTGTGCAAACTCTTCAAAGGAAACAGGTGGAAGTAAAACGATTTCAGGTGAAAACTTACCTGCACACAGTCACTACATAGATTTAAGTACATCTCAAGCAGGTTGGCATAAGCATAGATTTTGGGATTGGTCAGCAATGAAAAAAGGTAAAGGATATGATGTTAAAGACAACGTTCAGTTTGCTATAAATTGTTTCTGGGGTAACACACAGGGAGAAGGAAACCATACACATCGCGTTTCAGGATATACACAAACAACGGGACAAAGTAAAGACTACATGCCACCTTACATGACAGTTTACGCATGGTATAGAATTGCTTAGTCGTCATTTTCAACTTCTTTAGCATATTCGTCAGGAGTTGTCTTATATTTGTTAGGAACTGTCTTTGAAAGTATACCACCTTGAACTTTGACAAGTTTGAAACGAGGTCTGACAATAGTAGTTTTATCTTCTGCTTGCAGTCTGTACATTTTGCCATGTTTGCCTAAAACTTCATAATATTCTCTTGTATACTTTCTTCTATTTTTACGAACACGAACGTGAGTACCTGTCGGGTTCCCATTGTTGTCATAGTCAATAGTATTTTCATATGGGTCGCGTTTAGGTATTTCTATTTTTACTTTGTCACCTTTCTGAAGTTTGAAGCCTGGCATTCTTTCTTGTTTGTCTCTTTTGACTAAACTATTAAATATATAGTCTTTCTCTAAGTCAGGGTTGTTTTTCATTTCTTCGGGGAGTGGTTTCCCAAACCTTTTTGTTTACGGGTATTGTAAATATTTAAAACTTGTCTCATCTTTGCCATGGAGAAGTGTCTATATTTGTCGTCATATGACATTTCATTTGCTTCACCACCTTGTGGTTGATTTAAGTCTCTTAAGATTTTTATACAACTGTCAATGACACCAAGAGCAGAATGGTTTTGGTCGACAATGAAATATTGGTTTACATTTTTTGAACGCAGATAGTTTTTAATATCGTCTGATTTGAAAGAACTTTCATAGTCAGATGTCAGTTTTGTTGGATGGTATTTGTCAACGAATATTGTCAAAGCAGTTTTCACATCTAAAATATTTTTGGACTGTAATGGTATGGCTTCACAGTATCTTGTGTTTTGACCGACAAATATTAGCCAGTATGGAGGTCCATCTGTTCTAACTCTCGGAATGTTTTCCAAGATATCCATAAACCAAGCATTTGGTGTTGAACTAAAGATTTTTATCATGAGTGCTTTCTTTGTCGCTTTAGAAACATACGGGTCCTTGTTTGGATTCGTCATTTTTAACCCATAAGAAATGGGTTTATTTGGCGCATTAGCAGGAGTCGCATCTAGATTTTTGCCCGCAGTGGGAACAATAGCCAGAGGTGCATTTGGAATTGGAAGGAAGATTTTGAGTACATTAGGTATACTGAAAGAGAAAGCACAACCTATTATACAAACTGTACAGAAAGGTTGGGAGGTAGCACGAGATGCAGCAAATCTTATTCCAAATCCTGAAACAAGAGGAAAAGTTCAAGGATGGATGGACAATGTAGGAAGACAAGCAGGAAACTACTATAACAAAGCAAATGACTACTATAACCAAGCAGGACACTATATGGACCAAGGTGAAAGATTCTTTAACAGAGGATATAACCATGCACAACAGTGGGTAAACAACAACCAACCTCAACCGCCTCAAACGTGGGGAATGTAAAGTTTTTTACTGAGATGAAATGAACAATACAGCATTGAGACAAATGGGTTCAAGATGGATTTGTCGGCTTCCAGCAGTTACACAACGTGTTTGTCAAGTTCTTCCTATACCTCAGGAAGTTTTAGACCGACTTAAAAAAACCTCAACAACCAGTTGAAAACAAACCAAACTAAAAAATTTTTTACTGAGATGAAATGACCGAAGAAGTTGAAACGGTAGATTTGACACCACAAAACAAAAAGTTCAGAAACCATTGTCAAAACCTGTCAAAGAACTTACAGATGAAGAGAAAAATTCAATAATAGAAAGTGCTAGGTCTGGAAATACAAATCCTAACTACAAAGTCACTTTTCATAAAAATGGAACGGCAAGTATCTCAAAAAAGAAACAGACTCTCACAAATAAAATATTGAAGTCTGAAGGAGCTTTCGAGACAACAGATGGAAAAGTTTACTTCACTGACCAACAGTTCATTATAGAACATCTCATTGACTTAGAGTCGAAATATTCTAAACTTTACAACAAACACAAAAAGTTTGAAAGGAAAAACAGAAACAAATGGCATATGACATTTATGAAGATGTTGACGACACAACTGTTCCTGCAAGTGAGGTAAAGTCAAAGGAACCAAAAAGTGACGAAAAACCAATAGAAGAAGGGAAGCCAAAAACTGAAGATAAACCAAAACCAAAGGTTAGTTTCAATACTAAACCAAGTCAACCTTCATTAGCTGGTATGGGTTGGCGTCAAAGACTTATGGCAGCAGGCGGTTATGTAAAGTAAAGGAAAAAACATTTTTTTATTTTTATAAAAATGCCCCCATATAGAATGGACAGAAGGTCTGCTAGAATAAAAGCAGAGTTAGAAAGATATGGCTGGAGAGTTTCAAAGAAGTTTAAATATAGGAAGGGAAGACCCATAAAAGTCTATGACAAATTGTCTGGTCTTCGCTATGAAATGGACTTAGAAACAGCACGCGCAAATTATCCAAACAGACTAGAGAGGTTAGAAGAAGAACGTCTTATGGACATGCCTTTCGATGTTAGTGAACCGCAAGTTGAAGGACACGACGGCTTTGCCAGATTCTACTGGAAACATGACGAACAATTGCATCCTTTGAGAAGGAAAAAAGGAAAAGGTGAAGACGCACATGCTCCCATGGAAAGAACAAGATATGCATATGAAAAGTACCGTGAAGTTAGAAGCCAAATTACATCTGGGCGAACCTTTACAGTAAACTTTGACGAAGGAAAGAACAAAGAAGGCTTCATGGGAGTACTTGCTGCAATTCAAGACGGAAATAAGAAAGGATACAATCTCAGACTAACCGTAAAAGATTTGGATGGTCACATTTACTATGCACATGGCAATGTCACAACAGCTGCACAACTTCTTGACGCTTTCAAGACTACAAAGAGAGAACAAATGGTTGATTCCGACTCAGACATTTTGAATGCAATTGAAGGAATTGCAAGCGTGAAGTTCGAATGGTACCAACCTAACCCTCAAGCAGTCAGACAACATGCTGGATACTTCCCCTTCAGAAATAAGTCTGACATTAACCTGACAAGGTATGGAATTTACAATTCAATTGAAACAATTGTCAATGAACCTTGTATTCTTAGTTAGTATACAAGTCTCGTGTACTGAGGCACTGCGTTCCTTAGTACGCAATACTTGTGAATTTGACACTTTACAAAACCGTTAACGTATATTTTACAACACAAACACAAACACCAACTTAACCTTAAATATTTATAAAGCCGCCAACCACTTCACCTTACTACTGTAAAAATAAACGTTCTCACTTACAAAAGTATTGCAACTCTTCCCATTGCTGTGCTTCACACAATAGTTCATATTCTTCAGTATCGCTGCTGTCGCTCCAATCGTCAGAGTCAAAGTCACTGTCAAAATAAATGTTAGTAAGTTTTGACAAAGCTAATGAAACACGTTTACCGTTTGTATCGTATGCTTGTATAAACTTTCCATTCTTCATTCCTTCATAAACGCTCAAACTAACTTTACCCTTTCTCCCTCGTATCTGATAGAATGTATTTTCACGAGGAACGAAGAACAAATTCTTGAACTCATGACCGTTGTAGTTTGTTATCTCAATAGTTTTCGTCATTTACATCCAAATAAAAAAAAATAAAATAAAAAATAAACTTAAAAATTAATGATATCACCACCCTCACACGTATGAAAACATAGCACAAAAATAAATTTAGGTGAAGTGGTGAATCTCACCTCTTTTTTCACCCGTTGAATTCATTGCTTTATAACTCTCTTCCTTTCTCCAACTCTTCTAACTTCTTCTTAGTTTCAGCAATGTTGTCCTCATGAAGTTTAATCTTTCTCAAAATTCCTTCTCTATCTAATGGTTGCTTTATCTTTCTAAACTGAACTCTACCATCCTTCATAGTATGAACGTAAAAACCTTCTGGAACCGCTCCTGATTTAATGTATTCTACCAAAAACTTTTGTTTCATTGCTTCAGTGACTTTAGTCGTCATTTCAATCAAATAAAAATGTTCAAATAAAATAAAAATAACGTTATTTTTTCAGTAAGGAAACGCAGGAGTTTTACGATTTATTTGAGGAGTAGGTTCTGGTTTAAATGTTGGAGTCGGTTTAGGAGTTGACTTTTGAACAGGAGTTTGTACTTCCATAGGTTCAGGAGTCATTGAAGGTTGCTTGTGAAGGCGTTGGTTTTGCGAAGGTGTGGAGTTTGTTTAACTTCAGCTACTTCAGTATTATTTATAACATTTGCTTTATTTCTTTTCAACATCATAACTGCTCCTGCTGTAGCTAGCAAACCTAGTGGGAGACCATATCTTATATAAGGACTTGACCAAATGCTATTTTTGACAGGAGCTGGTGGAACACCTAACCTTGGTGAGACTGCTCTTTGCCATTGTGCAGCTCGTAAGAAATATTCAATAGGTGCTCCATAATCGTTTGGTAAAGTTTGTTTCATAGATGGTGAAGGTTCACGAGAGCTTGATGAAGAACTCATTTATAAGCTTTAAAAATAAACGTTCATCCTTTATTCCTCACTGTCGTCGTGCTAAGTTATAGTCGTCAAGTCTTATTATTGGTATGCCTGACTGTCTTACTTGTATTGCAAAGCAACAATCCCTCATAAATCCAATAAGTGGCTTTGGTACATTTTCAGTTGCTAGTTCAATAGGTCCTTTAACAGACAATTTGTATGTTATTGGAGCAGTAGATGTTTGACCTTGCTGGAAGCAAAAGTCCACTTCTGTTGGAAAACCACATAAGAAATGTGTGTTGTCATAGCTATCCCATTTATGTTCCACACTACCATCATCCACCAATGACCTCATAACATCTTCATTAAATCCTATCATATCATTGTTTGTATTGCAAGCGTTCGCAACCATTTCATAAAATACAGGTCCATATGATTTTTCAGGTTCTGCAGGCATATTTCCATAAGCTCCCATGGAAAGCTGAAGATATTTAAACTTAGGGTTCTCAAAATTAACATAATAGTTGTCTTTCTTTCTAAATAGTGCCCAAATACTTTTAACATTAATAGGCGTATAAGCTGCTGTAAATGTTGCACTTGAACTATCTGTATTCTTTGAGAATGAACCGTCCATAGGAATCCAATCCATAACTTTAACAGGAAAACATAAAGCCTCGTTTGTATAATGTTCTACAAGTTCTGTATAAATGTTAGGGTCTAAAGAGAATGACTTTGGATGAATGAAACATTCATTAAAATCCATCTTTGTTCGAAATAGTTGCTGGGTTACAGTTGTAATAGTAACTGTTCCACTAGCTTCTACTGCCTTCGTTATCATAGTGAATGGTTCATTCCATGGAACAAATTTATTTGTCGGTGGATTTGAATCTGAAGCAAATGCAACTTTAAGAGTTGGATTGAAAGCAATGATATCATTTACAGATATAGATGTGCATTGTAAGGCGTCGCTACTGAACTTTACTTTAAGCTGAATGTTTCCTGCAAAAGCTGGAATAAATCGAATAGCTTCTAATGGAAGGAATCTTCTAACAGGAATTCTTAAACGAAGCTTAAAATCAAATGATTTTCCTGCTGTAATTGGACCACTAACAATTTGTCCTGTTCTGCATGTTCCCGAATGACTCCATACATCTTCATGTCGAGTCTTTGAGAAAACATCTACTTTCTTTATTTGTTCGGTAGTTTGTGAGTTTGAAGTTATATATGCTTCTTCTCTTGCGTTGTCTTGAGAATATACGATACGACCATTTGCAAGGATTTGATATCCAGCAACTGCATAGAAAGCGTCATCGAAACCAATCCAAAATCCTGGTGGGTTTGTTTTATTGGAACCTGAACCAATTTCTTTATCTACAATAAATTGACCTTCCATTTTATACGTAATGAATGTATTGTAAAGGTCCAACATATTTTCACCAGGAGGTGAGAGATTGAATGTTACCCATGTGTTATCTTTAGCAGTTCCAGGTTGTGATGGAATCTTTGCGTCAGAATATTTTCTATTAGTGTCACCAATTTGAACTGCATTGTCTATGATATCGAAATATGAGCGAATCTGATGAATATGCTCTGCTGGAGTAAATTCGTTTAACTGTTCGTTCTGCATGTATTTACTTCAGATAAAAATATCTATTTACTTCATTATTCTCACTCTTCTTCTTGGCATTCGTGGTGGAAGTTGTTTCTTGACATTTTCAATGAACTGTACATTCTCTTTTGTCTCAACTTCTTTCACTGGCGGGTCAGGGTTCTTTGACTCGGTTTGTTTTTCAATGAAATTCACGAACTTTGCAATAAGCTCTTGGTTCGTTATTGAAAGTACATCTGGCTTCTTTTCTTCTGTTCTATTGACTTTTCAGTTTGAACAGAAGGTTTTATATGGGCTTCGTGGACTTCACCCTTGCCATGCACCTTAATGTTGTCGCTCTCTGCATTCGCTAATGGAACCTTTCTTTTTCTTACGTATATTTTACCATCTTTACTCTGACTTACGTAATAGAAAGGATGTTGTATTCCTCTTGCGTCATTTAATATAATAGACTCTCGCTCTGATTTTGACAAGCTCATTTTACATCGGTTAAAGTTTTAATTTAGTTTTTTATCTGCAGTCAAATGACTCAGACAAGCCCTACGGACAAGACCCAAGGGTCATAGATGTTGAAGCATTGAAGAAAGAAATTCGCGAGCAAATTTTATCCGAACTGAAGGAACAAAAACAAGAACAAAAGCCAGAGAGACCAAAGAGAAAACTTAGTGAAAAACAACTAGCTGCATTAGCTGCTGGAAGACAGAAGAACCCACGTTTGCTGGCGAAAAAAGCTAGAGAAGAAGCAAAAGCTAAAGAAGCTGAAGCAAAGAAAGAGTAAATGGTTTATTTTTATCCGAACTAAATGTATAGACAAATACCTTTATCTGTTGCGTTCAGTAGTGAAAACCCTGACGTCAAAATAAAGGGGAACAGAGTAACGTTTAAGTTTCCAACAGACTGGATTGTGAACATAAATGAAGAGAAGTACATTGGCATAACATCTATGTATATAACACGTGCTTTCAGAAAGGTTGACTTTATACTTCAAGTCGAGATAGAAAATGACGAACAGTCTTTAAGCGCCCAAAACATTCACATATACAAATACTTTAAAGACGATACAACATTGTTGCAATGTATGATTTCATTTAATGAGATGTTCGAGAAAAAGTTCAACATTGAAGTACAAACTTTACAGCCTTTACGTGAGTTTCTTGCACAACTGAAAGAAGAAGGTAGTCAGCCACAACTTATAGACTTTCATTATGAATTTAATGAAAATGAAGATGGAACTCATGACTGTCAATTCATTGTATTCTCACCATTCAATGAAGTCGCTAAAAAGAAAGAAAATCCATTACGTATAAGATTTCAAATCTCCGAACCAAGTGATGATTTTAAGAATGTTTTCAATTATGATGCAATGCTTCCGAGGAAAAATGAATTTTCAAAGATTGTAACACCTGGCATTTGGATAGAAAGCAAGCAATACTTTACTCTAATATAGCCAAAGGAGTTGAAAATGAGTTCATTGGTCATACAAGAACTTCACCACTTCCTAACCCTAAATACTATAAATTAACTGGCTTCAATCGTGAGTTTTGGATAGACATGTTCTCCACTCATGACCATAAATGTCCAGTGTTCTTGCCTCCAGATGGAAGGACTGTCTCTACATTGAAGCACAACTCTTAAACTCTACCATCGCAGTATTGTAAAATCTACGCTAGCTTTATTTTTATCACGAATGACCTCATTGCTGACAAAAATAAGCCGCTAGCGGCAAGGGCGAAGCCCATGACCTCAGAACTTCAACTTACGAATAAAGCTTGTTTTAGTCGTTATTGAAAAGTTGAACTTTTCAGCAAAGCAAGGTTGACATGACTTACATAAGTCGAATGCAATCTCTTGACCATCATAAAGTGCTTTGTAAAGTTTCATTAAACTGAACTCAGAGTCTTTGTCATATGTTCCAACAGGTATGTGAATGTTCTTATCTTCATTGTAATAGCATTGTATAGCTTCAGGAAACATTTCATTAGCGGTTAAAGCAATAACATCTTGCTTCACGCCTTTCATTCTGCAGTGAAATGCAACTTCATTTAAATCGTTAGTGAGTAAGTCTATGTAGGTCTTCTTTCCACAGAAAATACTTTTATAAGCTAAACTTTGTTTTCCAGGTGTTATTTCTGCAAAGTCGCTATGAAATTGACCAAGGTTCTTTCCTATAAGTTCGCGACCATATCTCTTCTTAAACTCTGCTGCAAGCTTTGGGATGTCTTCATTATATAAGTGCATACTGTCGGTATCCTGGTAAAAGATTTGAAGTCCCATGTCCTCTGCAGTACAGAATACTTCATTCATAATACGTTTTGACATAGACAGAATATTAACACCAAGTGGACAGAAGTTAAAGTGTCTGCAAATGCTTTTCGTTAGCTTGAAAATAGTTTTATCTGAACCATCCAAACCTTCGAACTTCACTATATGGTTGTAATTTCTTATAGCATATCTTATAGCATCTTTGTCATTTACTATGGTTATTTTTGACTCAATAGGAGATAGAATAGTTTTGCCATAAATGCTGTTCAGAATGAGTTTTATAATTTCTTGTAAGGGTTTCCTTCTTTCTTATACTTTAACCTTAACTCAAACAACTTCTTTACTTCATCTCTTATTCTCATATCTCTGTTTCCATCGTAATAGTATCCTTGCAACACTTCACATTTGACACCTTGATATTTTATGAGGTCTTGTAATGTTATATGGTCAACATACATGAGACAGCAAGTGTTTGAACTTCTTGGAACGTTAAGTTCTGGATTTAGTTCAGGGTCGCAAACTATTAAATGAAAGTGTCTGGGTATACCAATCTCTGTTATCTTAATGAGAACAAAGAAGCCAGACATAAACTTTTCACCAATGGGTTCCTTTTGGTCGTCATCGAATAAATGTCTCATGAGATACTCTGTGCTTAACATTTCTTCCTTCAATACTTTTGGAATACCTTCTAAAGTATAAAGTCTTGCTATAGCTGAAGGATATAATGAAATAGTGTCTAAGTCAGCAATGAGTTTCTTTTTGCTCTTTTGTTTCATGTTATCTGACAACATACATCTTCCACCTTGAATGCATCTCGAAATAAATTCTCTTGGTTTATTTGAGAGGTCATAAAGATTTCCATTCGGGAAGTATACTCTGTTCTCAAACAATTTGTTAGCAATAGAACAAATACTAACGTAGTCATAAACGTTTAAATCAAACTCTTTCAATAAGTCATTGCGGAACTTTACAAAACCTTCTCTTAAAATTCTTACATCTTGTTTGCAGTAAAACGTGCTATATTTTTCTAAGTCGAAGTGGTTTTCATCTATTCTGCAACCTTTGATGGAATCTATGTTCTTCATAAATGTATCTGCATCATGGATAAACTTACATGCTTCAGAAATGACACCAGTTCTGTTGTCATTTGCTAACAAAACACTGCTGTAGTAGTTATATGGAAATACTTCTTTCGGTCCTGTTTGTAAGTTAAACATAGCAGGAAATAGTTTAAGCTTCTTATTTATAACACTGTAAGAGTCTTTTATAATAATTGCCCGTCCTTTATATAACCAGTTATTTGCATTGTTCGTGAACCTTTAATGATGGGAGTTCCTTTCACTTCTGTCATGTGTCTTAAGATGAAGTTTATGTCATAACTGAGGTTATGGAAATATATTAAACTCTTGTCAGGAAGTCTTTCCAAAAATTCTGTTGCACAGTTTTGACCCCAAATACTTTCACTAACTGAACCATCTTCACTGTCATAACAGATGTTAAAAGCTTTATGAAAGCCATCCGTACTACACTCAAAGTCAGCAAAGAAAACGTGCTCAGGAATGAATTTACATTTAGCTTTATTTACTTCTTTTGACTCTGCTTTCTTCTTCAGTTGTACACAATACTTTGGAGCATATGTCAAATCTTTAAATGGTGCAAGGTTCTGTTTATATAAGTCAGTAGTATATGTGAAAAGTTCTCCATAAGAAATAGGTTCGAAATATTTGCACTCCCACAATGTTTTCATAACATCCCATAACGGTGTTGTTCTATCATAACGAACTACATATTTATCTTCTCTCTTTGTATAAATCTTCATCTGTTTCTCAATGTTCATTCCACCACACTCCTTCAAGATTTCTATATAGTTTCGAATGAAATATGTTGTCATTGGTAATCTTTCATTTAGCATGTAGTGGTCTTCAACAAGAAGTAAGTCAATAGTTCTAACAGTTTCGCATTCTTTTGGTATGTATCTCTTTATTTCATTATGTCTTGAGTCATTGAAATAACCAATGGTAACATTAAATGCTATACCTGTTGCGTCAGAAATTTCTTGTACTTTACTTTGAGGAAAGTCTCTAACACGAATGACTTCTCTCATGTGGTCAATAGTTTCTTCATTTACTCCAGCCTGAATGCAAGCATAAACGAACAATTGTCTCTGTCATAAGTGTTGCAGTTCTTTTGTTCAGTTCATTGAAGATTTGGTAGCGTTCAAGATTTATAGGTAATGTGCAAAGATACTTCCAGAACTGACCGCTTCTCTTCTTATAAAACTTCTTTTCACCATTATCTTTCCAAAAGCTTTCTATAAGTGCTGGGTTTCCTGTTTGCTTAAGAGCTTCCAAAATGGCTTTCTGGTCATTTGTCAGTGTGCTTTCATCTCTATATGGTCTCTTTTTTGGTTTGCCTTTCTTTACATCTGACATCGTTAAGCCTTCATATTCTGTTAAATCATACATCTTTATTTCGGTAAGATTCTTTATGTTTGTCAAGAAGAAGTCATAGTGCATTTCAACAATACCTGCAGCATTTGCTTCTATCTCTGATATAAAGTTCTCCTTCAAGAGCTGATGTAGTAATGTTCCAATATTATTGAGGTTTAACGTAGAACATTCATACTTTCCACCAAGTTTATAACATACCATCCATCTTTGTTGCGAATTTATTTTAATTTTCTCTAAGAGTCTCATGAAAACCTTACCGAAATGTTTGTGTAAGTAGTCTCTGTTTGGTTCATCTAAAGCTTCGATGTTAAAGTCAATGAGTCTATTGCCTGACTTCACATTCCTCTTCCTATTTTCTTCATCTTTCTTTAACCATCTCTCACCTTCTTTTGGTTTGTCGTCAATGGAACGAATGACATCGTTAGCTTTACGAACTTGTTCTATAGCACTTTTAAACATCTCTCTTCTCTGTTGTTTCAGTGTGTCGTCTCTTCTTCTTGTTTCACCAACGTTCGCATGGGCTACGCCCGCGCCGTCATGCGGCTTTGTTATGTCAAACATTTCTCTTCTTACTTCATGAGGTATTGAACGTCTATGATATAAGTCAATAGCAACGTCATTTAAAGGAAATGTTTTGTTATTAATGTAATCATGAATTCTATCATAAGTTATTTCACCATTATAGTCATTGAGGATGTCAGCGAGTGCCTTTTTGTTTGTTGCGTAATGTTTTGCAACATCTATGTTAGCTTCTGTAAGAAGTTGTTTTATTTCCGAGTGTTCTAACTTAGACAACTTCCGATACATCTTTAGTAGGAAATAAAAAAAATATTTTTGAAAAAATTAGATTAGATTTTTTTAAGTTATTTTTCAAAATAATTTAATATTTTTATTTTAATGAAACACATGCAAGATTGCAAGTTCTTTTCATACAATGCTCTCGCTACTGCCATCAAGAATGAGTTCAATAATGCTTCAAACGTCAATGTTATCTTTAACAAGAAGTTTGTGAAAGAATCTAAGTTTGGTCAGTATGTCAGACCATTAGCTATTGTCATTGACCGCAAACGTTATACTTCACAAGAGTTAGCAGTAGTTTTGAAACAAAAGAGTTTCTTCGTGAATGTCAAAGATACTCATTATACTGTCATAAAGAACTCCAACATTGACTTCTTCAGTATTGCTATGAATCTTTCCGAACAGAAAGAATATAAGAAGGGTGAAACAAATGTGAAATATTATCCTTCATCTCTGAAGACAATAACGAACAAAGATGTTATACAGAAATTCTTACCAAAGGTTGAAGAAGCTTCTATTGACATTGACGAAGGAAGTGAAATGGTTGAAGAAATTGACCCTGACGTCATTTAAGCAAAAATATATTTTTGGTGAAGAGGTGAGATTTCACCTAGCCGCTTTGCGGCTCTGACCCTTTGGGTCTGTTTTTTCACCTCATTCTCTCTTCGTTAATGTTGTCGTGACTTCATTCTTCCTCTTTGAAGTTATCGAAATATTCTGTTATTTTTTCCTTCAGTAATGTTAAGTCTTCTTTGAATGTAAGTATTGTGCAACCTTTGATGTCATAGTGTGTTTGAGGAAGAGTATTTTTGACAATTTCCTTTATTTGCTCATTCGGTGTCATTGAAATCGGTAAGTTTTCACGATAGAACCAGTTTCTGTCAGATTTGTAAATCTTAGCAAGGTCGTAAAAGCTTTTGTTGTTTCTTCTCACTAAATGCAACATAACCATATCTTTATCTTCTTCATTTTCCATCTCTTCAGTATAAATCATATACTTATAACTCTTTTCCTTTCCTTTTGGTACCGAACGTGGTATTCTTTTCTGAATGCTTTTGTCTTTGGATTCAATGACTTCATCTTTTGCTTGAAGTTTCTTTTCCATCTGTTCGCGTTCTGCTTTATATAGTTCATCTAACATCATGAAAATATAACAAGCGTAACGAGGTGAAGCCCACATTGCTACAGCGTTTACTAAAAGTCTATGAACATAATATCCTTTCAAACCAGGAGCCAAATTTTTACGATTTTCGTACGGAATCTCTTCCCTCGGTTTTCCGAGGGAAGCAATCATATGAGGAAATTCTTCTAAAAGTTCTTTTGCCTGTTGGTTTTCAAACCAATGATATGCTTGCTTTGTAGAACGAAGAGCATTCATTATACTTTGCATTTGGTACATGTCGTCTTTGACAGAACGAATGAGTCTCAATTGTTTGTTATATTGTATGTACTCGTATTCTTCATTTATGGCTTCATGAACGATAGCAGTTGTTGTGTTCTCTGATGTTGACATATCTGTCCTTACATACAGGATAAAAAAATAAATAAAATAAAAACTAACTTTATTTTTTTTGAGATAAACACTATTTCTTCACAACATTAAATTTTATCCTGTATGAAATGACTTTAAAAAGATTATTGACTGACTTCGAATACTATCTCATTGACGCACTGACAGACCCTCAAAACTGTGTTGAAAGTTCTTTAAGCTTTAAGATTGAAGGTACGACGCATTTTGTCTTCACTTACGTATTGAAAGAATATGACCGTTATCATAACGAAGTGAATCAAACACTAATAAAATTTGTAGATAAAAAATTGGTTAACAATGAATATTTTAAACGTGAAGACCCAAACACTGCTGGAGATGATGAAGAATACAGACAAGTTATTGAAAAAAATAACGCAAGATTAGATGCAATAGAAAAGAAGTTTAATGAATGTCTTACAAACACGTATGAATATCTTATGCAGTGGGAAGCCAGATGGAAATAAATTTACGTCAAATATGCAATTTATAAAATCTTATGTCGACAGGCTACGTAGCACAGTGGTCTAAGGTGGTGTTATGGAGGGTCAGGGTCTGTGGTTCGAACCGCGACAGCGCCGTATTTTCTTATTTTCTTTATTTGTCTTGTTTGTCGTGAATAAAAAGTATCATAAAAGTGCTCTATCTTCCACGGGAATACATAAAAAATTTACTTTATTTCTTCTTTATTTCTTCTTTATTTCTTTGTTCCCGTGGAAGAAGGGTTTTGCTATTTTTTCTCAGCCGAAATCAACGATTTTTTCATTTTTGGAATCCTTAGCGAATGAGGAATCTTTTCTCTCGTGGAAGCTTTGACCAAAAATATATTATAGGTGAAGAGGTGAGATGTCACCTCTTTTTTCACCCTAGTTATTTTATAAACGTTTTACATGGTAAACGTTATTTTTTTAAATTTTGTGAAAACTCAACGGTTTGACACAAGCCCTAAAAATTATTTTACTCAGAATTTTGTTGCTAAATTCAATAAAAATAATGTTTAGGTGAAGAGGTGACATCTCACCTCTTTTTTCACCTCTTTTTTCACCTCTTTTTTCACCTCTTGAATTTTCGTGAATTTCCTTAAGATAGAAAAAATAACGCTAATTTTATTTTTATTTATTTTTTATTTTGTATAAAAGATATGATTTCAACAATCGGCACAACAACAATTCAAGCCGCGAACGGCGGGACTCTGTCCACAACAACTTCACCAAACTCGTTAGTCATGAATCCTACGTCAATGTTAGTAGAAATGAAAAGCTTCATTCCTTCTTCATTTACTTTCGAAACAAAAATCCAGAAGATAAAGCAAGAACTTTTAACAAGTAATTTAGACTGTAGTGCGAAAGATGAAACAAATGAACAGTATCTTTATGAAATGCAGGACATTATTGACCATTTACCTAAACTACCTGAAATTCAGCATCAAAAACTCACTATTCCTGAATTCGACGAAATTGAAGTCAAAACAACTGACTCAGTAGAAATAAAGAAGTTCATACGTAAAGTAAATTATGAATTCCTTGGTTTTCATTGCAACCATAAAGTTATGGACAAAGATTGCGATATGGTATATAAAAACATTTCTGACATATATAAATCTGAGGAGTTTAAGACTTACGATAACTTTGTTTCATTAGTTGCTGAATGTGTATGGCAGATAAGAGATAAAGATAGAAGAGGCAAAGTATGGAACGAACAAATAAGACCCGCTATGTTTGAGATGAAGAAAACCATTGACGCCTTAGTTGTTCTAGCAGGTAAGGTTTCAATGTATAACGCAAAAATGAACCCGCAATGTTCAAAATGTAAAGCAGGAATAAGGAAATATAACTACTCCGTCAAAGAGATAGAAAGAATGAGAAACGACTATGCAGACTTAAAGAAAGAAGCAGAAAAGCCAGCAGAAGATAAAATGGACATGTTAGCATTTCTGAACAAAAACTATCCAACAGCAGAAGATTTCCTTCTATCTGACGTCAAGAAGAAATATAAAGAGACTTTCGGCATTGTTAAAACTTTTGATATCCTCAGCGAAGAAATAGAAGCTACGAAATTGTTTAGGATTTCAAATATACATCGTACAATTCATGTAAAACGTTTATAAAATAACTAGGGTGAGAAAACAGGTGAAAAAACGGGTGACATCTCACCTCTTCACCTATAATATATTTTTTGGTGAATTCAATAAAAATAAGCCGCTAGCGGCAAGGGCGAAGCCCATGAGTTCATTTACTCACAATATTTTTGTACAAAACGACCCCAAACTTTTAACTTCTTTTCTGCAGCTTCAAATGCTATCTTAGCGAGTTCATATTCTCTAAATTCTCTCTTTAAATCTTCTTGTTCCCATTGGTCTAGTTCGTATGGAGAATCTCTATAACCATAATATATCTCACGTTCATGTTCTAATTGTTTTTCACACATTTTTCCAACTTCTTCTTCGAACAAAGGTTTAGCATTCTCCACTGTATCTTCGAGTTCTTCTTCATCTAACTTCTCATGAACTTTCTTGTCTATGGAGTCCATAATATCTTTGACATAAAATGCATACTTTACAGAGCACCATTCAGCAACAAAATGAACGAGGTCAGCATGTATGTAAATACCTTTGAATTCATTCATAACGCCCTTAGTAAGCTCATAAAATGCTTGTTTTGAGGTTGAGCCACTTTTGGCTCGACCGTATTCTTTCAACCAAAACTCAAGAATTTCCTGCATTTAGCACTATTGAGAAATCTGTTTAAATGGTTTAACTTTCCTGCTTCTCTCGCCATCTTTGTTGCATTAATGTAACCATCCTTGTCTCTACGTAAGACTTCAATACCATTATAAGTGCCTTTTGTGAATGTTTCACCATTAGATTTGTTCGTGAATGTTTTTGCTTCGACTGACATTTCTGTTCTTACATACAAAATAAAAAAATATTTTATAAAAAATTAGCGTTATTTTTTCTATCTTAAGGAAATTCACGAAAATTCAAGAGGTGAAAAAAGAGGTGAAAAAACGGGTGACATCTCACCTCTTCACCTAAACATTATTTTTGGTGTAAATTTATGAAAACATTAATAATTTCATGACTGTTCTCATTCATGTCTGATTTACATCCAACGAAAAAGTTTAGAAGAATTTTCTTATTCTTTCTGGCATGTTTTTATCTTTCCAGTACTCCCGCTCTAATGGTCCCAGATGAGTTGGTTTAAATTCTCTCAAGTTCTTAGATGGTATAACATCTTCAACGCCTCCTTCATATCTTACTTTATAAGTGTCATCGTTTATGTTGTAGCCAAGTATTTCAATAACCACTCCTCGCTTTGCTTCGTCAATGGTTTCAGCAAGTTTGCCATTACTACTTTCAACAACTTTATGTCGAGGGTAAAACGTATGGAGTCGTCAGCAGCTTTTATAAGATATCCATTACCTTGCGTAGAGTCTACGATATAATAGTTTCTACTTAACCTTAAACGTTTCTTTGTCAATG